GAGGAGAGGAGAGGAGAGGAGAGGAGAGGAGAGGAGAATTATATAGCTAAGGGGGTAGAGGAGGATCTAGTGTGGTCTAAGTCACACACACCTGGAGTCAGACTGTGAGCACAAGGACCCCGTGCCCTCTACAGTTTCTATACCCAGTTCCTAAGCCAGGGTTGCATAGTGAGACCCCATCTCAAAAATGGAAGAGGAGGAAAGGTGTGTATGTGTGTATGTGTGTGTGTGTGTGTGTGTGTGCTCGTGTGTGTCTGTACATGTGTGTGTGGGGGGGCAGTTAATGTTAGGCCGAGGACTGTTTTCTGTAACTAAAGATATTGAAGGAAGGGGGAAAAATGTGCTTTACCCCAATTCCTGCCAGGTAAGGGGCCCTCAGAGCCATTCCAAAATGCTGTTCCTTTGCCAAAGGGAGAAAGATAATGAGAGTGGAGGTGGAGGAAGAGTGGGGAGGTGCCAGGGCCCTCTTTGAGCTTTCACCATTAGCCTTTGTAGGGCTCACTTTCCTAAGTGGCCCTGGGGAGCAGGTGTGCCTGGGTCACTGGGCCTGTCCCTGCAGTCCCTCCCACAGAAGCGGAAGTCACTCTTCTGTTTTTGTAGTCGAAACTGGAGGAGTTATTCTTTCCATCGGTTACTGAGGCGGTCAGCCTGGGAAAGCCCCGGATTCCAGGCTCGTGTGCTGTCCAGGGAAGCTGCTGTTTGAGGATTCCTTTTATTTTAGGGGAAAAGTCTGGGACTTAGATGGGTGTGTTTTGAGGACTTTTATGTAGAGATGAATGGGTCCTGCAGTGTGTCCCTGACTGTCCATGAACCTGTGCAGCGCTCGGCAGGCAGGAAGTTGTTACACGCTAGGCCCTCTGTGATCCACCGTGACAACAGTGTATGTAGTGTGTGTAGTGTTTGTGGTGCAGTGTGTGTGGTTTGTGTGTGTGTATGGTATGGTGTGGGGTGTGTGTTTGTGTGTGGTATGGGCTGTAGTATGTGTCATTTCTTATCAAGAATCTGCAGTGTCTATACAGACAACGAAAGCAGTGCCTTGAAGGCTCTGTGCTGTTGTCCAGGCTGCATGCCTGGTCCATGGTTTCGGCATCGGCTCTGCTACTCTGCCTTGCCTCGCCATCCGGGAAAGTCTTAGACAATTCTTTGAAAACATTTAAAAATGGAAAAATCCTGGCACAAGCCTTTAATCCCAGCTCTCGTGAGGCAAAGGCAGCCTGGTCTACAGAGAGAGCTCCACGATAGCCAGAGCTACACGGAGAAGCCCTGGCTCAAAAAACCAAAATAAGCCAGCCAACCCATGCGAGTAGAGTGCTCATGCCTCCATCAGCCAGTGTCAGTGATGAGCAGCCTTCTGGTGACCCAGTGGCCATTGAGGGGCTGGTTCCAGGATTCCTGCAGGGTACCAGGGTCTATGGATACTGAGTCCCTTCTGCAAAGTAGCACGATAGTTGCTTGAGTCACTCCTGGTTACAGGTAACCACAGGATGGAGTGCTAACTAACCATGCCTGGGTATTTACTGAGTGAGTGCTGAGCCTCCCTCAGTACTCTTTAATTTCCTCAGTCCTTCGGGCCATCCCAGGTGGAATGCTTGTGTGGTCCCTTCTGCTCCTGACCTTACTTTCCCCTGGGCCCCTGGGAGTGCTTGGTGAACAGCATCTGCTGTGGAACCACAGTGGAGGTTTCTCTGTGTCCTCTGCCAGGCAGTGGGGCAGCACAGGGGCATCCCCCATCGTGTGACCTGGGCTGCTCAGGACACCTCCCACTTCCTGGTTTCCTCCTGTCATTAGAGATGATAGATTGCACCTGTTGCAAGATGTCACCAGGCTTAAACGGAATGACACCCATGGAGCTTGTCAGCTGGCACATGGTGTCAGGAGGTGACAGCACTGACTGAGGGAGAGGGTTGCTTCGGGATGAGTGTTGACCCTGTCATCCATTCCAGGGACCACCACAGCTGGGAACCAGCAGCAGGCCTCACGCCAGCTTCCATGCCAGGAGGATGTCCCTTGTTCCCTGAAAACTGATGTACCTGACTCTCCCCAATCTAAGGTAAACCCACCCTTTGCTTCTATTCCAATCATGTCCTGGCTCCTCCTGGTCCTCTCAGAAACAGTTTCTTCATTCCCTGAGACCAGTGTGGGGGTGGGGAGGACAAGGGACCCATGAACATCTCTCCAAGCTTCCGAGACTAAGGATACTCATCAGCAGAATGAGGAGTGTGTGCTGCACTGTTTGAGGGTCTTGGTAGGTTGTGTCTTTGGGGCATTATTCAGGGCCTAACGAAGCAGCCTCATACTGAATCCTAGCCTAGGTCAGGATTCATGTTTGCCACAGTGGGGATTGAACCCAGGGCCTTCTACATTCAACTACTGAACTATAACTACAGCCCCTCTTTTTTCTTCTTTGTTTGTTGTGTTTTGTTTGTTGTTTTTAGCAAGCTTTTACTAAGGATCACAGACAGGCTTTGAACTTGTGATCCCCCTGTCTCAGCCTCTAGAGGAACAGCTGGAAGGACAGGCCTTCACTATGAAGCCCAACAGGACCTTTGTTTTCAATGGCCCGGTATAAGCGAGACCAGAGCCAGTACAGCCTACACGGGCAGTTACAGGAGCTAGTTTACAACCACCCAGCCCTCCCCATTTTCTTGTCAGAGTTGAGCAACAGTCAGAGTGGTCCTGCACTTTGACTTGGGTTCCAGAGTGTTCTTTGACTTTACTCCTGTGGCTACTTTCACCCTTGTTTGCTAATGCTTCCAGATACTGTTGTACCTATATTGGTAATATGACTATAATTCACACTGGGTTAGAAATGAAAGCATTAGTATGCGGCACAGCCCAGTGGGACATCCCTGGGTCCCACCCCAGCCAAGGGGGAAAAGTAGGAAATAGCTTTTTACTCTTTTTGAGACAGGGTTCTATGTAGCCCAGGCTGGCTTCAAACTTGCTGAGGATAATCTTGTACTACTGCTCCCACCCCTCAAATTATTGGATAACAGGCATGTGTCACCGCACCCAGTGTATGTGTGCCAAGGATGGAACTCAAGGCCTGTGCATGTCACTCTACCAACTGAGCTGCATCCTTACTTATTTTTGAGATAAGATCTCACTGTGTAGCTCAGTTTGGATTTGAATTTGTGAATCCTCCTACCTTTGAGTCCTGCTTGCTGTGGTTATGGACATGTCCAGCCTTTCCTTCTAATTTGAAAAGATAAACCCTGGAGTGGTAGCCCTTGCCTTTAATCCCAGCACTTGGGAGGCAGAGCTGGGCAGTTCTCTGTGAGTTAGAGGCTAATGTGGTGTACACAGTGAGTTCAAGGCTAACCAGAGTGACATAGTGAAACCCTGTTTTTTGTTTTTCAAGATATCAAAAGTTTTTATGTTCTTGAGAAGTTGAGGGCTTGGCCCTAAGGGAGAAAGCAGCAACTCCTGGGCTGATTAATAAACATCTGTAACTTAATCATTTTCAGAGATGGTTGAATCGTTACGGACCTTTAGGCCCAGGAGTTGGAGAACAGGCAGGCAGGTTTCCAAATGTTTGAGGTCAGACTGGTCTACGTAGTATGCTTCAGGCCAGCCATGGCCACATAGGGAAACTGTCTCAAAAAAAACCCAACTAACCAAACAAAAAACCCAAAACCTTCCAGAGGTCTTGAGTTCAATTCTCAGCAACTACATGGTGGGTTACTATCATCTATAATATGATCGTATGCCCTCTTCTGGCATGCAGGTATAAATGCAGATAGAGCACTCATAAATACGTCTTTAAAAAATTATTTATAAGAAAGTTTCTATTAACATTTGTTTTCTTTTTCTTTTTGTACATAATCTTTAAAATTTTTATTCTACATTTATTATGTATGTATGTATGTTTGTATGTTTGTATGTATGTATATGTCAGGGCACGTGTGTGCTGTGGCACACATGTGAAGTTAGAGGACAGCTTTCAGGAGTTTATTTATGTCCTGGGGACTGAACTCTGGTTGCCAGGCTTCTCGAGAGCCTTTACCTAGTGAGCCATCTTGCTGGCTTCATTCTTATTTTCGACAAGCTGATCCCAGCGGATCTAACTGGCAGGGGACACATTCATCTTTAATTGCCTGTTTTTTTTTTTCCTAGAATACTTTCCTAGAAATATTTTCCAGAACGATTGATAAGAGTTTATGTAACTTCAAAAATATCAATTTCTGTGCGCCTGTGTTTGCAAGGGGAGTCATAGAAGCCGGACTTCTGAGTAGTCTTCCATATGTGCCCGCCTCCAAAACCCTGCTTAGAGATTGGGATTATTTGAACTCTGTTACCACTTGTAAAAAAAGAAGGGAAAGCCCCTTGGTATCCCAGGGACCCCTGGGGGACAGGGATGGCCAGCTTTCATGGTCACCACCCACTCTTCTCTCTCAACCCCCAGTATTGCAGCACTTCCACGTCCATCCCCAAGCAGGAAAAGCTTCTGAGTTTTCCCGGAGACAGGCTTTTCTGGAGTGAAGCAGATGTCGTTCACGCAACTGAGGACTTTGACGAAAGCCACCGAATCATCGAGGGGACCTTTGCCAATATCTACCGGGGACAAAGGAACGGTGTGGCCTTCGCCTTCAAGAAGCTCCGGGAGGTGAGGTGAGGGTGTCTGCGGGGAGCAATGAGGCCTGGGGCTGAGGCTGGATGGGTCTTCAGGGGCTGTGTGTTTTCCCACAGGTGGCCGGCTCAAGTGCAGGGTCCATGGACAGATTCCTACAGGCAGAGATGCAGCTCTGCCTCAGGTGAGTTTCCTGTGCAGAGCCCCTGGCCTAATGATGACAGCAGGTAGTACTTCCTGTGTACAAGGCAAGCAGTGAGCATTGCCAGTATTGTTCTGGGCCATTTTCTGTTGCCGTCACAGAGCATCACAGAGAGGGTGGTTTCTAAAGCACAAGTTTGTTTATTTCGTGGTTTTAGGGGCTGGGAAGTCAGAGTTCATCCACTGAGGCCTCAAATAGCCGATACCACAGCAGCGAGCGTCACACAGTGAGATTGAGGGTCTCTCCCCGTCTTGTACAGCCCTAGCCCATGACCTCCCCTACCCCTCATTACTCCTAAGCATCCTGCCTCCAAATACCTCTGATGACAAATGTAGGGATTCAGTTTCCAACATATAAACTCTGGGCCACATACTCTGGTCGTAGCATATACAAGCTCAATCCATCGTCACCAGAATGTGGCAGCACAGATCCCAGGGCCACAGTTGTATGGGTGTGTAAGTCCAGGCCCAGAGAGGCTCAGTGTTTGACCCAAGACCACACAGCTAGTATGTAGCAGGGCCAGAGTGTGAGTCTTCATGGACTGTGTCCAGAGTCTATGCTCTTGTTATGCAGCAAAAATTAGAATTCTCAAGAAACCTTGGCTTGTTTCACCTCCTCCTTTCTTAAAAAGAAAGAGATCCTTCCTATCCCATTTTGAAACAGGCAAACAGATGATGATCTAATGGCAAACCCATCTCAACACTAGACATGTGGAGATCCACAGATCTAAAGCTGCCTCTGTGTGTGTTTGTTTATATAGCTCAAGATCGAAGAATGGTTTATTTTGTTTTTGAGACAGGGTTTCTCTGTGTATCCCTGCCTATCCAGGAACTTGCAATGTAGATCAGGCTGGCCTTAAAACTTACAGAGATCCACCTGCCTCTGCCTCCCAAGTGCTTGGATTAAAGGTGTGAGCCACTACACCTGGCTTGTTTTATTATTTTCAGACTAGGTTTTGCTATGTAGCCTGATTGGCTTGGAACTCTCTATGTAGACCAGGCTGGCCTCAAACTCACAGAGATCCATCTGCTTCTGCCTTCCAAGTGCTGGATTAAAGGTGTATGCCACCATAGTTGGCCCTGTTTTTATTATATTTTAAGATGGTTGAAACAAATCTAAAGAAGGATATCTCATAGTCCATGAATGCAAGATGACATAAAATAAAGTTTTATTGGTATACAACTGTGTTTTCAGTGTTCACAGTGTCTATGGCTCCTTCTGGGCAGAACACCCAGTAGGGTACTTGCTATAATCTACAACCTGTGGAGAACAGATGTTTTCTAACTCACTCTTTATTCTACAAGCTGGCTGTGGGGCTGGAGATGTAGCCAAGCATGGATAAGGCTCTGGGTTCCAGTCCTAGCAACTCCCCATCCCACTGCCCCCCAAAGGTGTAAAGTAATAAAGCCTTCAGAAGTTACCCTCCAATCTGTTCACTGCTGAGAGGCATGCTCACATCATCCCAGAACTTGAGATGCTGAGGCAGGAAGGCTGCACACTAAAGACTTCCCATCCCAGAGCTGGGAGGGGCTTTGGGAGAAAAGAGGAGAGTTGGGGACTGAGACACTTCCTGGCTTTGTCGCCATACCTAGCTAGTTTGTTATTTCTGAATGCCTTCTCTAGTCACCCATGAGAAATAAAACACACATGTGTAACTGTGTGGACACTCATTTAATGGAGACCAGACATGTAGTTTGTGCCTTTGCTTCAACTCTGTGTTCTCATAGGCTCAGTGGTCACTTTTCCATTCATTAGTTTAGTAGCCCAGGCTATCCCAGGTTAGACGAGTGCTCACTTGAAGCCGGGTAGCCCCCACCCCACAGTGCATGCAGTACGGACAGGCATGCAAACAGCTAGTGAATGAGACGGGGTGAAGTAAGGCATGGGAAGGCAGCACGATCTAGCACAAGGCCATCTGCAGTTGCCCTGTGAGGTGGCCTGCACTGTGACTGCAAGAAGGGGATGGAAAACTGTGTGTAACAGTGTGTGGTGATTCATGAGCCCAGAGGTTTCTGGGAGGCAGAAGAGAAGTGTCCTTTCCCAGGTGGACAGCTCACATGTGGAGCATGAGACGTGGCCGGAGTCATGACTAACCCTGAGGCAGGTGTGGTGGCCTCTAGCAGGTTCTTCATCCCTCAGCCTGTTCCCAAAAGTGGGTTGGGGATGGTGCTAGACTGCACAGCAGGGAAATAGGGTGAGGCCATCAGGGACCAGAGCCTGTGGCACCTGGGAAGTAGCTCGAGGTCTGAGCTGGGAAGGGAGGCTCTGCCTTTGGCTCTTGTTCTTTGATGCCTGACTCTACACTGGTGCTGGGTTTAGATGCTGCCATCCCAACATCCTACCTCTGCTGGGTTTCTGCACTGGAAGACAGTTCCACAGCCTCATCTACCCCTACATGGCAAATGGCTCTCTGCAGGACAGACTCTGGCCTCAGGTAAACCAGTGGGTTATGGGCTGTGGTCATGGAACGGAACACATAGCTCTTGCCTAGGGGTCAAGTTAAGGACCTTCAAAGAGCATAAAATCTTCAATACAGACATCAATGTATCCCTTATTTAATTTTATTTTTATTTATCATTTTTTTTGTTTGTTTTGGAGACAAGGTCAGCAGTAGCCAGGTTAGCCTTAAACTTGCTATATGGCAGACAGTGACCTTGAAGTTCTTGTGCCCCCATCTTCCTGAGTGCTAGGAGCACAGGCATGTGTTACAGTGCCTAGTTTATGCAGTGCTGGGGAAAGAAATCCAGGACTGTCTGGATAGTAACAGACAGTTTAAACTGAACTCTACCCCCAGCTGCCCCCTCCTCTTCTTTATAGGGCTAAGGGCAAGTCTAGGGCTCTAGAAAGACAAGGCAAGTGCCCCTTCCCCCCGCTAAACCCCAGCCCTACATGTCCATTTCATACCCAAAGAAACGGAAGCTCAGAGGCTTCAAGTATCTTTCCAAAGTCACACGGCGCATGTATGTCTGATCTTGGACTTTCGAGTAGCTCTGTTTGATGCAAATATTGTCGTCTCAAGGCTGAGCCCTGTGACCAAGGATGGGTTCCAAAGGGTCCAAGACTAGGCTATAAACACTTTAGAATGGTTCGGGGTGACCCTTTTTATTCCTTCTCTTTCTCTTAGGGCGACTCAGACATGCTGCCCTGGCCACAGCGTGCCAGCATCTGCTCAGGGCTTCTTCTAGCTGTGGAACACCTGCATAGCCTGGATATCATCCACAGCAACATTAAGAGGTGAGAGGGCAGGGTAAGCTGGGCCTGCTCCCCAGGCCTGGCTTTGAGAATGAGGCCAGCTCCTGTTCTTGCTGTCAGTCGGTCTGTCTGTCTGTCTGTCTGTCTGCCTGCCTCTTCCCTCCTCCCCCCTCTTCTCTACCTCCCCTTCCTTGGGGACCTTAGGTCTCTCTTCAGGTCCTCAGAATCCAGTATTTCTGAGATGTGCCCTCTGCTCATGCCCAGTATGTGAAGCTGTCTGTCACTTTGTCTGTGGCCTTTCTGGATTAGTTTCCTAGAAGGCCACAGTAGCTTAAACATTTGACTCAAGGAGCCAGCATGCACTCTGTCTGGGAGCTGTGCCAGCCTTGGGATTGGAGCTCCCCATTTAAACTTTCCTCAGTACCCACTTTACCTGTCTGTTGGTGATAGGTCTTGTCAGGGAGGCTTCCTGTCCCCAGCATCTTAGCATCAGATTTCCAAGAGCAAGAGAACTCTAATCATGGGAGGGATTCCAAGAATCTAAGGCACTTAGCAGAACCAGCTCCATGACCATGGGTCTTGTGGTTTCCAGAGGTGTCCTCAAAGGCCCTTTCTTCCTCCTCTCTTGACTTAAATGTGATGGCACCATGCTCTGACACCAAGCTGCATCCCGACTCTTGCTGTAGAGCAGAACTGGCCTCTAACTGACAGTGTAGCGCAGGCTGACCTGGAGCTCACTATGTAGCCTATGATGGCCTCGAACTTCCAGCGGCCTCCTATCTCAGTTTCCTGAGTGCTGAGGTTAGCGGTGAACTGCCACTGTGTCTGGCCTGGTATCTTCTGTTTCAAATGCTGCTTGGTGGGCCAGTGAGATGACTCAGTGGGTAACGATGCTTGCTGCCAAGCCAGATGGCCTGAATTTGACCCCTTGACTCTAAATGATGGAAGGAGGGGAGCTCCTGCAAAATTTCCTTCTGAGCTCCTGGCAAGATGCGGCATGCATGCTCCCTTCCCACAAACAAACACAATCAAATAAAATACTGCTAAGGTTAGTTCTAGACACGAAGCCTGGCTTTTTGTTCCCACCCCCTCAGGAATTCTCTGAGTTAAGTCCCTCCAATTACGACTAGATCAAAGGCTATTTTCACTTCTATTTTTAAAAATTTAAAACATGCTCCCCTTCCTTACAACCTGAGAGAATTGAGTTATAAAGGATGCCAGTGTTTGGATTTGCCCCTGTGAGGCCAGAGCTTGTGGTGGGAACAGCTTTGGAAGAGTCTAGGCCAGTACGAGCAGTGGGCTTGGCCTACTTGCTCTGCTGGCCGGGGCTGGCATCAGTGAGGAGTGGAAGTCTGCATCTCTGGCCATATTCCTGTGGCAACTAGGTTAATTTTCTATTCCATTTCCATTTAGTGGAGTGAGTGGGCTTTCAAGGCCCTGCCCATTTATGGCTGCTATTTTATGTTGAGTGTCTCTGTGATGGCATCCCCTTCACCACTCACAGGGCTGACGTTGCCTAATGCTAAATTGTTTGGCCAATGTGTCTCCATGGTAACCTTTTCTTCCCAGAATTCAAAGGTTCTCTTCACTTGCTTTCCCACAGTGCCAATGTTTTGCTGGACCAGCATCTTAACCCTAAGCTGGCTCATCCAGTAGCTCATCTGAGTCCCGACAATAAAAAAACGAAGTACACCGTAATGAAGACTCACCTGTTCCAGGCCTCAGCCGCATATCTGCCTGAAAACTTCATCCGAGTGGGGCAGCTGACCAAGCAAGTGGACATCTTCAGCTGTGGAATTGTAAGCATTTTCCTTTCTGCCCACAGGCTGTCTGTAAGCACGGGGCTTGCATGGAGTTCCAGCAGAGGCTGGGGGACTGTGGCCTACAGGCCAGATCCGAGACAAAGACATCCTTTAAAATCATTGATTTCACTTGTTCTTAGTTTGTGGGTGTGCAATATGTGTGGGGTATGGTGTGGGGGTGTAGTTTAGATGTCATGCTCAGGTACTATTGACCTGAGCTAGGGATAGGCTCTCTCACTGCCCTAAAGCTCATCAGTGAGGCTAGACCGTGACCAGTGAACCCCAAGGATCCTCCTGTCTCTCTGTCTCCCCAGTGTTTGGATTACAAGCGCATACCTCGTCTGGCGTTTTTATATGGGATCTCAGGATCTGAGCTCAAGTCCCTATGTTCACAAGGTGATCATTCACTGACTGACATGTCCCTAGTTTACCCCAACTTTCCCCCTCCCCTCATTTTTGGTGCTGGAGATAATACCCAGGTCCTCAGACATGCTAGACATGTGTTCTACCACTGAGCCATACTTCCCACATTTTTGCGATGAGGTCTCACTGGGTACTTGTAGTTCAGCCTAGCCACCAACTGTGACCCTGCCTCAGCCTTTGGAATACTGGAACTGTAGACGTGTGCCCCCAGGCCTAGCTTCCATGGTCTATTTTGTGTGGTTTCTGAGCTATAAGTGATTTTCATGGTTAAAAAGGTTTACAGAGCTGGGTATGGGGATACATGTCTGTAATCCCAGCACTTGAAAGGCCAAGGCAGGAAGATTGCTCACATAGTGAGTTCTAGGTCAACTTGACCTTGTCTTAAAAACTCTTAAAAGATGGTAAACAGGTATATACAGAAACTATATATGGTTGGTGATTCTGTGGGCTGCAGATGTTATCTCTCGACTTCCTGCTTCCTGGCCACACTGTTGGCTTACCCACCTATTTCTCTGTCATGCTTGTTCATCACTTTCATCAGTGACCATCCACCTCTCCTGCATACTCCCTGCCTCAGGACCAGGTGCCGGGTGCTCAGGGCGTAATGTAAAGCGTCTGTAGTCTGAACCTGATAGTCTGCTCAGTGTATCTTTAGGATACACTGACTTCTTTTTGATGTCTGCAGGACCGATGTGTTAAAAGGGCTGAAAGGATAGGTAGGTTTGGAAGATACTATAAGCCGAGCTAGCTTTTCATTATAGACTTAACAGGGAGCTGACCTCATGACTGGATGTTGCGAACCTGCCAGAGGAGGTTATGGAAGCTTTCCCAACTCCACTTCACAGCAGAACCTTGTTTTCTTGCCTTGTCTGTCCAACTTGGTGTTCCGCAGAACCACAGAATGTTGCACAGCGTTAGGAAATGCTGTCCGAGACACATAGTTTGTTGCCTGCAGCCAAACTCCCAACTGTTGCGCTCAGGGCTTTGCATCTGCCTTCCTCCCCATCTTGAACTCTCTACTTCCTCTTTGTGACCACAAGCCTCCTGTCTGTTCACATCTGTCTCTGAAGCCCTCATTGGGCCACCTTCTGCCCTCAGCTGGACCTCTGTATTTCAGATTCAGTTCCTTTTGCCCCTGGCTAGCCGCTCTGCTGGTTCTCCCCCCCTTCCTTCACCCCCAAAGTTCCCTGTGAGTGCTTCAGTGCTAAGCAGCCCTACTTGGAGAACCAGGGGCTCTCTGGTAGGGGAGGCAGAGAGTTCCAGGGGAGCCTAGGCAATTTAGGAAGACTGTACCTCAAAACAAACAGAACGGAATAAAACAAAACAAAAATTAAAACAAGTCAAAACAACCCAATAGAGCAGAACCACCAGGCAGTATGGCCTAGTGCAGGACAGGCACTCCTGCCCATCCCATGTTTGAGCCTCAGTTTTGCCTTCTGGAAAGTGATTAGTGGTGCTTGTAGAGTAGTAATGGGGCTGGGTGTGGGGCACACACCTTGAATGTCAGTACTCAAGGCAGAGAGGCAGGGGCAGGGGCAGGGGCAGGGGCAGGGGCAGGGGCAGGGGCAGGGGCAGGGGCAGGGGCAGGGGCAGCTGATCTGTGTGGGTTCGAGGCCAGCTTGGTCTACAAAGTGAGTTCTAGGGCAGTCAGGGCTCTGTAGAGAGACTTGTCAAGTAGGTAAGTAAGTTAATTAATTAATTAAAGAGTAATAGGATGTTGTGTAAACATGGGTATTGTAGTATTAGTGTGTGTGTGTATGTGTGTGCGTGTGCATATGTGCACGTGTGTGTGTGTGTGTGTGTGTGTGTGTAGATGTGCACACACCACACTGCATGTGGAGGTCAGAGAACAACTATCTGGAGTTGTCGCCTTTCTCCGGCCACCTTGTGGGATTGAACTCAAGTAGTCTGGCCTGCATGCCAGTGCCTCATCCTCCTGCCCGCTATGTCTCAGTGTTTTTATGCCCACTAAGTGACCCTTGTCAGGGACTTATTCCTTCCAGAATCACATGGCTGAGACAGAGGTGATGTCTATCCCCTGGTTTGTTTTCCTCTGTTTCTTCCTTCCTGCAAGGACCTTGCTGGCCACCCCTTTTCCACTGGCTGCAGACCCTTTCCTGTCGGTCGTGTGCTCTGTGCTGCCCCCTCCTGGCCACTGCTGGCATGCTCCTCGTTACCCCCAGAGCAGGGTCACTTCAGTGCCTAACCTGTGGCTTACTGCTCTAACTTGTTGCAGGAGGGTGTGGGAGAGACTTGACAGGAAGGACTGCTGTTCATCCTGCTGCAGAGCTGCTCTACCACGTGACACATGCAGACTCTGGCCCAAGTTTCAGTTCCCAGCCCTGGGGCTCACTTCTGCAGAGTGGGACTGGGAGTCTAGGCTTCTGTGTCTGTTTCCCATTTCTGTGGGTTTTTGTTTTATTTTGTTTTGTTTCTTTTTTTTTTTTTTTTCCTTTTTGGTTTTTGAGACAGAGTTTCTTTGGGTAGCCTTGGCTATCCTAGAACTAGCTCTATAGACCAGACTGGCCTTGAACACATAGTGATCCACCTGTCTCTGCCTCCTGAGTTCTGGGATTTAAGGTATGCAACACCGCTACCTGGCTCACTCCTGCATCTTTACACTGCCAAGAATCCCATGAAAGGCAGGCTTGCCGTTCTCACAGGTACATATGACAGCACGTATGACCTGGGTGTTAGCTCAGGTCTCAGGGCTGTGCTCATTTGTGGGTGAATGAAAAAATCCTGGTGATGTGACAAGACAATTAGGAACTCAAGGCCACCCTCAGGTACCAAGTAACTTCAAAAGACTCTGTCTTAAAAACAAGAAAAGGGGGCTGTTGGGATCACTCAGTGGGTAGAGGAGCTTGCTGCCAAGCCTGACAACCTGAGTTCCAGCCCTGGGACCCACACAGTGGAAGGAGAGCTCCGGTTCCCCCAAGTTTCTCTCTGACCTCTACACAAGTGCCTTGGCACGTGAACACCAACACACACACACACACAGACATACACAGACACACACACACACTCAATAAATAAATGTAATAATAACATTAACAGTAATAATATCAGAAAAGACAAAGCCTTTGTCGTTGTCTAAGTCTTTTGCTGACTGTATATAGATCATGACAACTCTGTCCTCTCTCCTATCCAGGTATTGGCCGAGGTCTTCACTGGCGTCCCTGCGATGGACAAGGACCGCAGTCCAGTTTACCTGGTAAGAGATCCAGTTCCTTCTGGTTGGTTGGCTGGTATCCTTGGGCACACACGTTCACGTGAGGAGGGAGGGCCTTGCCCACCACATACAAAGGTCTCAGGCCTCAGTCCAGAGCTCTTGGCGTATGCCACATCTTTCCACGTCTCCCCTTTAGGAGCACAGCGGCTCACACTGCCTGTGTGTGTGCAACTGCTCAGCCTCATTCTCGCCTTGGTATTCTCCTTTTTCTTTCTTCTCTATGGTCTAGGCTGGCTTTGAATTCTTGGTCATCCTCCTGCCTCAGCCTTCTTTTGTGTTCTGGGATCACAGACTTGTGTCACACAGTCAGCTGCAGCCCTCCAAGTGAGCCTTTTCCTCTGTCTCAGCCTGCCTTCCTTTTCTTTGGTGAGTCCTTGCATGTTCTAATCAACTATCTGGTTTGTTATTTTGTCAAATGGTTCCACTCACTAGTTGCTCTAATTTTCCTTCAATTTTCCTTGGCTCTGGGAGTTGGCTTTTGAGACTTGCCAGGGTTCATGGTTTTGTTTCTGTCAAGAACGCTTTGTCCTAGCCTGTGCCCAGCCCTGACCTTAGAGTCGAGCTAGTAGCAGCTTCTCTCAGTGCTGGCTACAGATAAGATCTCTCCTCCCTGGAGGGTCACAAGGGTAGGGTTCTGGGAACTGTTTGTGGATTCCTTCTCTTTGTGGTAACTTGTTTCTCTCTGTAAACCGCTCACATGCTTCAGCTGTTACATGCTGATTTCCCCTTCCTCGAACGCTGTTAAGTTTCCTCAAAGATAAATAGTTAAAAGTTCATGCTTACATAGAGCCCAGTAAGTGCCAGAAGCACCACACCAGCCTTAGCCATCTTTACTTCCAGATACTGAATACCTGATGGCGTTAGCCATGTTGTATTCCCAGTTCCTGAAACTACCTACTCACTGGCTGGGGAAATGGAGGCACAGTGGGGCTTACATTTTTATTAATCCCTCTGAGATAAAATATTGTCATATTGCCCAGCTAGCCTTGAACTCCTAGGCTCAAGCAATCCTCCTGCCTTAGCCTCCTGTGTAGCAGGAACCATATGTCTATGACACCACACCTGCCTAGCTTTTATTTTTTAAATTGTTTGAAATTCTTCTTTTTTTTTTAAATTAATGTTTCTTTTTTTTTAAAGATTTATTTATTTATTTTATGTATTCACCATTGCTCTCTTCAGACACACCAGAAGAGGGCATCAGAGCCCATTAAAGATGGTTCTGAGCCACCATGTGGTTGCTGGGACTTGAACTCAGGACCTCTGGAAGAGCAGTCAGTGCTCTTAACCGCTGAGCCATCTCTCCAGCCCTGAAATTCTTCTTTTACATTACATTACATCCCCAACTGCAGTTCCTCTCCCCCATTCTCTCCAGTCCCACCCACCCTTTCTTCCCCAGACTCACTCCTCCTCAATTTCTCTTGGAAAAACAAAACAAAATATCCCAGCATGCTTCCCAGGAATATCAACCAAACAAGACTATAACAACATAATTTAATAAGACTAGGCATAAGCCAGCCGGGCGTTGGTGGCGCACGCCTTTAATCCCAGCACTTGGGAGGCAGAGGCAGGCGGATTTCTGAGTTCGAGGCCAGCCTGGTCTACAAAGTGAGTTCCAGGACAGCCAGGGCTATACAGAGAAACCCTGTCTCGAAAAACCAAAAGGAAAAAAAAAAAAAAAAAAAGACTAGGCATAAGCCTAAATATCAAGGCTGGATGAGGCAACCTAGTAGGAGGAAAAGAGTCCCAAGAGTAGGCACAAGAGTCAGAGATATCGCTCACTCCAACTGTTAGGAGACCCACAAGAACACCAAGCTACACAAGCAAAAGGTATATGCAGACCCATATAGGGTCTGTAATTGTTGCTTCAGTCTTAGTAAGCCCCTGTGAGCCCTGCTTAGTTGATTCTATGGACTGTGTTTTCATGGTCTCCTCAACCCCTCTGCCTCCCATACTTCCTCCCCCTGTTTTGCAGGATTCCCCTGGCTCAGCCTAGTGTCAGGCATCTGTTCCCATCAGTTGGGGAATGAGGCCGCTCTGGTGATAGTTGGGCAGGCGTTGCTCTATGAGTATAGCAGAATATCATTAGAAATTATTTCACTGACTTTTTTTTTTTTTGCCAGTTGTGTTTGGAGGCTGGAGAAGGCCTTGTAGAGAAAGAGATGACTTGAGTGGGTAACTAGAGTGGACCCAAGGGCCAGAGACTAGGTAGGGATGCATTTTAGGTGGCAAAATCAAGCCTCACTATGCAGCTCAGACTACCCATGAATTTACAGACCTCTTTCTCAACCTCTATAGGGTGCTGGGGTTTCAGGTGCGTGTTGTCACAGCCAGCTTTAAAATGCCATGTGTTTTATAATATGTAATTATAAATATGTACATATTTATATGTCCATAGATATGTAGCAGTGACACACACACACATACATACACACACACACACATACGCTAAAAACAAATAAGTAAATAAGTATACAGCAATTTGATACAACAAATGTAGGGGTTGACTTTGAACTCCTGATCCTCCTGTCTCCACTTCCTAAGTGTTAGGATTGAAGGCACACACCGCCATTTCTGTTTACCTATGCTATATAAGCAGTGTACCAACTGAGCTACAGCCTTGACCCCATAAGTAAGTGAGCTTACCTTCTCCCTCCTGACTGCTCCCCCTGCTTCGTTTGGAGATGGCGTCATTCCTGGCACTCTGATGTTAGTCCCGAGCAGCAATCTCACACTTGTTTTGTTTGTTTGTTTTCCTTCTTGCTTATTTCTTAGTAAGGCATTTCAAATGTCCCTTTGAAAGAGGCCCCTCTGACTCCCTTGTGATCCTGCTTTGCCCCTGTTGATGCTTACAACCCCTCCCCCTAGGTCCCCAGTTCTCCCTCTTCATTTTGATTCTCTTGAAGAAGTTGCTTGCAGTTGGTAGTACCTGTGATTTCAGCAGGGTGGGTGCACTCAAGGGTGACCTGCTGCTTTTGTTTCCTTTTACCGCAAGATTTATCACAGGCACTGCTGAACAAACCAGCAGAAGCAAAGAGGGCCTGCATAGATGTCAGGAAGATTAACTCATGAGGCTGTCGAGGTGACTTTGCAGTTAAGGGCACTTGCAGGCACCTCCAGAAGACCTGAGTTCAGATCCCAGCACCCATGTCAGGTGGCTCACAACCTGTGACTCTGGCTGCAGGAGATCTGATGCTGCCTTTTGGCTTCTGCAGACACACACATGACAAACACACAGTCACACATGCACATAAATAAATAAAAATAAATTCTAAAAAAAAAAAAAGATTAAATTGAGGCTGGAGAGATGGCTCAGTGGTTAATAATGCATACACCACTCTTGCAGAGGACCTGAGTTTGGGTCCCAGAACCCGCACCCAGTGGCTTCCTACCTGGATCCTGTAAATCCAGCTCTAGAGGATCTGACACCCTCTTCCGAGGGTATTTGTGCTCACACGCACATACCCACACACAGACACACACACTTACAAATAAATAACAATGAAACCCCCCCTTTTTTTTTTTTCTCGAGACAGGGTTTCTCTGTGTAGCCCTGGTTGTCCTGGAACTCACTCTGTAGACCAGGCTGGCCTCGAACTCAGAAATCCGCCTGCCTCTGCCTCCCAAGTGAAACTCTTTTTTAAAAGATTAAGTTATAAGTGCTAGGCATGTGGTTAAGTGCTATGCAAATGATGGTCATTAGTATTTGCTGTGCATATATTTCACAAATGGAAGACATGTTTATTGGAAGTGGGCTATTGAATATTTTTCTGTCTGGTGTCCTATTTTGTGCTATGGGGGTCCATTATTGGATTTGTATTTGTGTTATACCCAGGAATAGGCATTTCATGTTTCCATTTTCTATTGGAGCCACTGAATTGGGACAGGTTAAGCCATTGCAGATGAGCTGTGGATGTCCTAGGGAATGCCCTGTGTATTCTCAAGTGCCTGGGTGCTGAACTTGTTTATGCCTTTTAGACATCTTACCACACCCAGCATCTCACCTGGACTTCCTCACTCTCTTCCAACAGAAGGATTTGCTTCTCCGTGAGATTCCCAGCAGTACTTCCTCAGTCTACTCCAGGAGGACAGGAATGGGGAAGGCGGTGGTAAAAGAGATCTGCCGGAAGCATGTGGAGAGGAGGGCGGGGATGCTGCCTGAGGCCTGTGAGGAAGCCTGGGCCACCGCTGTGAGTGTCTGCCTGCAGAGGCGCAATGCCAGCGTGGAGGAGGTGAGCTCCGCTGCCTGCTGCCTCACCTAGGAAGCCTCACATGCCAATGATGCAATAAGCCAAGTTTAGCCTTGATTGTCCACAGTAAAACCTACTGGGGCCGTTGCTGTGTGGGCCATGCGGGACCTTGAGGGTACAAGTGTGGCTGGGCTGCAGGGAGGGAAGGATGGAGCCTAGAAATCAGGGTTGCTGTTGGGTCATGGAGGACCCTGAGGCTGGGTATCTGGCCGGACATAGCCTTTTGTGGGAGCCAATCTCTTCCTGTCTTCCCCCTGCCTGCTTTCTCTCCTGATCTGTAACTGCCCTGTGGCATTTCCTCCACCCTCTTGGAAAGAATGGCTTGGAGTGGCCCACATTGTGGTCCTAAGCTGAGCTGGAATGAGTGTCCAAAGTCCTCTCACTAACTACAGAGGACCAGTCCACCTGAGCAAGCCATTCCTGTCCTGTTGTCCTGGAGTTCCTGGTCTTTGCATGAGAGTTGTCTGTGTGATAGTCACCTGGAAGGTGTATGACAGGTCTCTCTGTGTCAAGCCTGGCAGGGAACTAAACCCAGAGTTAGAGGGCTCTGGAGGCCGGCCCAGTAGGATTTTCCAGATCACTAAGGATTTCAGAAGAGCAGTACACAAGCAGAGACAAGCAGATGTATTCTAAGCAGCGTCCCCCTATCCTCCCCCGCCCCCCGCCACTCACATTCCTTCAAACCTTCAGTTATTCACTCCGTCAATGGTTCGGTGTGTCAGTTAGGGCTTGGGTAAAGGGACCGTAATGAGGAGATGGCAAAATACACCAATTTAAGCAAGATAAAAGTTTGCTGCCTTTGGGTTAATGGTTTGGGTGTGGGTAACCTGGGCTGCAGTGGCTAACCATGCTGGCTAAAAAGTTTCCATTTCAGAGTTCAAGGTGGTAACTATCGCTCAGTTTGTTGCTCAATCAGTTGCATCTGCTTTCCAGCCAGAGAAAGAGGGTTAAAAGAAGAGGACACACTCTTACATTCTCTCTTTCTTTTATTGATTATTTTGTTTTGTTCATGTGTGGGTATTTTGCCTTCAAGTATAGCTGTTGCATCACTTTTGTGCCTGGTGCTGTGTCCGCCAGCAGAGGGCGTCAGATCCCCTGGAGTTTCTGACAGTTGAGAGCTGCCATGTGGGTGCTGGGAATTGAACCTTGGTCCACTGGAGAATCAGCCAGTGTTTTTAACTGATGAGCCATCTGTTTAGTTCTCTCCCTACCTTTTTTTTTTTTTTTTTTAAAAAAAGACCGTGTGTGTGTGTGTGTCTGTGTCTGTGTCTCTGTGTGTCTGTGTGTGTCTGTGTGTGTCTGTGTGTGTCTGTGTGTCTGGTGTGTCTGTGTGTCTGTGTTTCTGAGTATTTGGGTGCCAGAGGAAGCCAGAACAGTATGTTGGGTTTCCTGGAGCTGAAGTTACAGGTATTTGTGTGAGCCATCTACTCTGGGTTCTGGGAGGTGAACTCAGGTCTTCTGAAGGAGCAGCGAGGACTCATCATCTCTAAGCCAGCCCTCCAGCCCCCTCTCCCTTCCTTTTAAAAACATGACTGAGAAATGCACACATCAGTTTTTGCATACCCCATGCATCACACAGGGCTACAGAGGACTGCAACCTTTAGCATGGCAACATGCTTCTTGGGCATCTAATTGAACTTTTATCTGGATACTTAATATTTGAACCAGATCTTGAAGGATGAGCCATTTGCCATGTATACTAAAGGGAATAGAACATTTCAGCTATAAAAAGAAAGACAAGGGGGGCTGGAGAGATGGCTCAGTGGTTAAGAGCACTGACTGCACTTCCAGAGGTCCTGAGTTCAAATCCCAGCAACCACATGGTGGCTCACAACCATCTATAATGAGATCTGATGCCCTCTTCTGGTGTGTCTGAAGACAGCTACAGTGTATTCATATATAATAAATAAATAAATCTTTAAAAAAAAAAAAAAAAGAAAGACAAGGAGAAAAAAGAGAAGAGGGAGAAAGAGAGAGAGAGAGACAGACAGACAGACAGACAGAGATTGTGCTAACCACAACTAGGCTTGAACCTGAAAGATCCACGGCCCTGCCGGGTCTGGCCCACTGAGCTGCTCTGCCATGCATCATCGGCTTATTTTATTTATTTATTTATTTTTGGTTTTTCAAGACAAGGTTTCTCTGTATAGCCCTGGCTGTCCTGGAACTCACTCTGTAGACCAGGCTGGCCTCAAACTCAGAAATCCGCCTGCCTCTGCCTCCCAAGTGCTGGGATTAAAGGCGTGCACCACCACCGCCCGGCTTAATTATTGTTTATTGTGTGTGTACTTGTACATGGAAGTTCTGCAGGAACTGAGACTCAGTTCTTTTCTTCCACCATGCGGATTCTGTGGATGGAACCCAGCTCCCTGGGCTCAGTAGGATGTGCCTTTCTAGGGTGGACCATCTCCCCTCTCCCTGCTTCAACTTGTATCTTTTTGGGGGACAAGATCTCTCTCACACTATAGCTCCTGGTAGCTTTGAACTTGAGGCAGTTTTCCTGCCTCAGTCTCCTAGGTTCTGGGATTATGCGTGTCAGCTGTCACCCCGGCTCTATTATCTGCCTGCTTGTTTGATTTTCAGAAGCGATTTCTTGTAGTTCCGGCTGGCTTTGAACTTCATACTTAGCGAAGTGGCCGTGAATTCCTGATGCTGTATTTGCTTCTCGAGTTCTAGGATTACAGGCTTCTTTCATCCTGTTAGACTCTGATATTTTTGTATTTATAAAAAATCTAAGCCGGGCTGTGGTGGCGCATGCCTTTAATCCTGGCACTTGGGAGGCAGAGGCAGGCGGATTTCTGAGTTTGAGACCAGCCTGGTCTACAGAGTGAGCTCCAGGACAGCCAGGACTACACAGAGAAACCCTGTCTCGAAAAACCAAAAAAAAAAAAAAATCTATAACATCTGGGTGTGGTGACACACACTACTTTAATCTATCAGCTCTTGGGAGGCAGAGGCAGGCAGAAGTCTGTGGGTTCAAAGCCAGCCTTGTCTACAGAGTGAGTTTCAGACAGCCAGGTCTCTGTAGGAAGACACTGTCCAAAAACCAAAACCATTGTGATCATATATAAAATAAATGAATTCACATGGGATTTTAAAATTAAATTTAGAAGGAGAGAGAGAGAGAGAGAGAGAGAGAGAGAGAGAGAACTTGTGTACATATATGTGTGCATGTACATATGCCGTGACACAGATCCAAGGTTAAATAACAACTTCCAGGAGCTCTCTCCTTCGATCGTATGGGTCCTGGAGCTTGAACTCAGATTGTCAATCTTGGCAGAAAGTACATTACCTACTGTGCTATCTTACAAGCCTACACACTGAATTTTTTTTTTTTGCAAGGCCCTGAGGAAATGAAATGTTCTTATTGAGGGTGAGCAGTATGTACAACAAACAGTAGCGTAGGCCAGCTACTTGGGATGCTAACACAGCAGCTGAAGCAGCTGCTTAAGGCCAGCTTGGGCTATAGCGTGAGGTCAAGGCCTGCATGTAGTATAATGAGCTCCTAGCTCAGACCTAAGAGACAAAAGAGAAGGGCCCAGTGTAGCTCTACGTACACTTGCCTAGCATACACACCCAAGGCTCTGCACTCAACTCAAGGTCTTAGAGACACACGCAGACGATTGCCCACACCTGACCCAGTCATTGCCATCAGAAGTTTGCGGGGCAGTGTTGAGACCATCTGGGCTCACACATTCATCTGTGGCTTTCTTTAAGGCAGGGTGTGCCATTCCTGTGACTGCAGCAGGCATTTGATTGTAACTCCCAGGAGACCATGTGGTGGCCTTTGGCTTTTGAAAGGACTGGTACGGGCACAAGACATTCCCAGACCAAGTGCTCAGCACAAATGAGATTTATTTCCTCAGAGGAACAAGCAGGGGGTGAGGGGTGGGAGAGGTTGCAAAAGCAGCGGCAGCAGCAAGAGAAGCAAGAGAGGGTTGCTTCTGCATGAGTGGGGGTTGTAAGGTGTGTGTGTGTGTGTGGAGGGGTCTGCTAGAGTGAGTTGGTAAATCCTGACTGAACATGTTAGCCAAAAAATGAATTTTGGTTGTTGGACCTTGGTGTTTTGTGTCAGGAATGAGTCAGTGACCAAATAAGGGAATAGACCTTGAGGGCTAGCTTTAGGAATGTATGGTTTTTAGCTAGAGAGAGGAAAACGGGGTAAAAGAGCAAAACCTGTCTGCAATGTTTGCTCTGCTGAGGGCGGGGCTGAGTTTGCCGTGCTTATACCTGCTAGAGCCCCTTCAACTTTAATGCCAGTACCCGATCAACTGCTTGTCTGTCTCCCCCTCCAAGGCTCGACTCTCCATGGCTGGGGTGGAGGAGCAGCTCCGAGGGCAGCTGTCCCTCCCTTGGAGCAGGGTTTCTGAGGACACAGGCTCATCTTCCAATACCCCAGAGGAAACAGATGACGTTGACAATTCCAGCCTCAGCATCCCCTCTTCTGTTATGGTGGTGTCATGCCCAAGGGTTGCCTCCTCTCCACTCTTCACTGGAAATGGAACAGCACAGCCATCTACTTGTGTGAGACAGGAGGCCGACTCCTCAGAGGCTTGCACAGGCCCACAGCCGCCCCAGGACGGTAAGCTTGGAAGGGCGAGGTGCCCATGCAGAATCACTTCTGTGACTCTAACTTAGGCCATCCCTGCCCCTCCCATTCCCTAATTCATCGTTTTCTTTAGTAATTCAGACAGTCACTGCACAGCAGATACACAAAGAGGAAGTTCAGCTCACCAGCGACTATTGATTTCTGACCACTCTCTTGCCTCCTAGGCCTTTCACACCTCCATCTCTGTGCTGCGCCCTGGTCACGCCTACTGCCCATTTGCTGGGACAACCATGTGGCCGTCCTCAGCCTTGCTCCGCTCTTGCCTCTGGCTCATTACTTCTTCTTCCAGGATCCAGAGGGAGTCATGTGTTCTTATTTTTAAAGTTTAAAATCTTATTTTATGTGTATGGGTGTTCTGTCTCTGTGTATGTCTGTGCAATACATATGTACAGTATCTGAGGAGGCAAGATACCCTGGAGCTGGAGTTGCAGATGATTGTGAGGTGCCATGTGGGTGCTGGGAATCGAGCCTGAGTTGTCTGGAAGAGCAAGCAGCATGTGTTCTTAACTGATAAGCCATCTTTCCAGTCCCGAGATTTTAATTTTTTGATGTATTTATGTATGCATTTTTGTGGTGTTGGGGACTGGATGTAGGCCCTCATGCTTGAGATATGTGTGTGTGTGTGTGTAATATATATATTATATATATATAAATAAAATTAAATAGAAATATTTATAAATATAAGTATATATGTATTTTCATTTTGAGACAATGTGAGTCTCATGTAGCCTAGAATGATATGGACCTTCCTATATAGCTGAGGATGACCTCGAACTCCTGATCCTCCTGCCTTCACCTCCCAAGTGCTGGGATTACAGGACTGGTAAGATGGCCAGTAGGTAAAGGTGCTGGCTTCTCCTGACTATGATCCTAGTTTACCACATGATAGAAGAAGATTGATGCCCCGATCTCTACAAACACACCTTGTCATGCACGCACATGCGTGTGTAGGTACATGTGTGCATGCATGCACACACACACAGCAAAGGAAAAAAATTAAATAGTTTGAGACAGTTTTACCTGGGCTATCTCACGAACCCTTGTCTGTTTTTTTTTTTGGGGGGGGATTGCTGGTATGTGTTATTATGCCCTTCTAGAGGGGTTTATAAAGACACAGTGCATGGCACATACCTGTTGTACTTGAAAACACTTCTCTGGGGCCAGCAGGACCATTCATAGTCCCTCTTGCCTGCCTCTTCTTCCTTGCCAGTCCCTTTTAAAGACACCCTCCATCACTGGCACTCGGGTACAAACATGCCAGGCTTCCTAGTGAAATGAAAGTGGAGGCCTTCTCAGCGGTGCCCCCAGGCCTTGTGAATGCGACTCACTGGTAGTCTAGGTTCTGATCACCCCCCCTGGGGAGGAAGGAGAATTTAGAAACTGTTATGATCTAAGTGACAGGAGTCATAAAGTCATGCCATGTGACAGGTCTCACATGGCCCAAATGTGCCCGAGCAGCTACCCAGGGTGCTCTGGTCCCGTCTCTCAGACTGCTTCAACTGGGCCTGCACACTCCTTCCCTCAGATGGTCCCACAGCCTGGACAGCAGTGAAGCAGCCAGCCCTCCCAGGACTTGGCCAGCATCCCTGTTTTCTTATGGTCCCCTCTTATGACATTTCCCCTTGTCAACAGGAAGTAGTCAAAAGAGCACAATGCCTGACTCCTGCCCCACCATCACCCCTTCCTAGTTCCTCGTTTTTAATGCAACAAAAAAAGGAGGGACTTTAGCTTACAGGTGATTCCACCAGGCTCTGCCCACGGACCTAGCAGCAGTCACCACCTGCCCTGCAGCCAGGTGTTTCAGGTGTGGGCTGTGTATAAAAGGGCTGCCAGTGGTGGTGCACACCTTTAATCCCAGCACTTGGGAGGCAGAGGCAGGCAGATGTCTGAGTTTGAGGCCAGCCTGGTCTACCGAGTGAGTTCCAGGACAGCCAGGGCTACACAGAGAAACCCTGTCTTGAAAAACCAAAAAAAAAAAAAAGGACTGCCACCATCCAGCACTCTCTCTCTCTCTCCTTCCCTCTCTCCCTCTCTCTCTCCCTCCCTCTCTCCCTCTCTCTCTCCCCCTCTCCCTCTCTCTTTCTCCCCCCTCCCTCCCTCCCTGCCCCCCCCCCCCCGTTTCCATGTGTTTCCGGACAGCCGCACCTCTTCTTTCTTCTCTCTTCCCCCTCCCTTTCCCCCATCTCCTTCTGTCCTTCTCTGTGGCCCATCCTCTTCTCTGCCCTCATGGCTCTGCTTCTGTCTGTCTGCCCATCTACTCATCTGCCTCTACCCTTTCTCCAGATCCTCACTCCCTTCCCTTCCTCCAAATAAGTCCCCTTATACCAGATTTGTTGCTTGGTGTAACTTGTTATGGGGATGCCTTGGCATGGACCCTCCAGGTAGCGCCTTGCTGCATTTTATTTCATAACAGAAACGGCTATCATTATTGTTGGTGGCCATACTTCTCCCATATCTGTGGAGGAATATGGAGCCTCTTCTTTGTGGAAAGGGTATATACATGTGGTGGGGGTTGGGGGAGCCTGGAGTGTTATTGTGTCTGTGAGGGAGGTGCAGTCTTCCCTGCAAAGGCAGAAGCCATGACATGCTACTTGTTTGGGCCTGTTTCACAAACTTGCTATGAGACTCTGATCAAGTCTGATTCAAAGAATTTTAATAGCAATTTTAATAGCAAAAATTCAGTAGAATTTTAATTTTAACTTGCTGAAGCTACTCTTTTTCTATTTTCTGTTGAACATCAGCTACAGAGAATTCATGGAAAATTGAGATCAATGAGGCCAAAAGAAAACTGATGGAGAACATACTACTCTATAAAGAAGAGAAACTGGACAGCATTGAGCTTTTTGGACCCTGATGACTGGAGCACAGCTGAAGACCCTTATTCTTAACTGAATAGACAAATGTCCAGTCAAGGAAGAGGTCTTTAGCTGCCCAAAGTCTGTGGAGACTCATACAACCCCAAATCAGCCTGAACAGAAGGAAATATGGCTTCATCAGAGTCGAGTTGCAGGGAGGGGAGCAGGGGGACCTCAACTTACACAGACACCAAACCTTAGGAGGTACCCCTCCTCTTTGAGACTTCCTAGAGGACTATGAATTGGAACACCTTTATGGGACCCAAGGATTTGGGTGGTTTTGTGGTTCCAGGGAGCCCATGTTGATTACCACCTCAAGAGATGCTGTTGCCCCAAAAGTTCTTGGTCCTCCACAATGGACAGAGCAATTCTGCAGCACCTGTGCTGTTTTCAAGTTATCGTCTCTCAGTCATATTTGCAGACAGCTTTCTGCAAATTTCCACTTCTTTGTTGTTGTTGTTGTTGTTAAAACACTTTATTCAGAAGCTTGGGGAAAGGTTGAAGTCCACGTTGTCTGCTGTTCTGTGCAGGGCAGACCTTAGAGATCTCCCTGTAGCTAAGAGAAATTTCCACTTCTTAAAAGACCTTCAGCTGGTGTCTCAGCAATGTTTGACTCATCTCTCAAGTTCAGGACTAACTACAAACGCAGGACAGATGGCAGAGGACTCCTTCTTCAGTTGGTGATCTTGTAAGCCACTGGTATTATTTAGGAACTGCCTGCTTTTCAACTTTGTCTTCCTGTCACACCCAGGTTTATTTTAATGGAGACTCAGAGGTTGTGTGTTATTTATAGCTAGGTGAAGAAGAATGAGAAACAGTCTCATGTTTGATTCTGCTGCTAGTTAAGTCAATCACTCAATGGGTGGTAACTCAGTATCCTTGTAAGGTAACTGCTACTGCATTCTCCCTGGGGAAGACTAGAGCTGCTGTACTCAGCTCTCCAGAGGATAGGTGTAGCAGCCGTAGAAGCACTTTGAAAATGTATCTGTTCTGTTTTATAAATTAAGTAAAAGGTATGTAGTTCACGTTTCTGCCATATAGAAAATGTTTATGAAGTGAATATATTTTTGAAAAGTCATGTTACAAACTCTTTTGTAAAACAAAGCTATTTCTAATTCACTATTTAAAAATAATTCCACTATAGTGACAAAATAAAAATGTTTGTAATCTAGCAGATGTCTTATAATTTTGTGTCTGGGTGAATTTGTATACTGAATATGTCTGACTCAAGGACTCTTTTTTTTTTTGGTTTGGTTTTTTGAGACAGGGTTTCTCTGTGTGACCCTGGCTGTCCCGGAACTCACTCTGTAGACCAGGCTGGCCTCGAACTCAGAAATCCACCTGCCTCTGCCTCCCAAGTGCTGGGATTAAAGACGTGTGCCACCACTGCCCGGCTTGACTCAAGGACTCTTGCTTTTATTTCTGTATTTATTGTTTGTACAACATGCGTGTGCACGTTTACGCATGTGAACGTGGTGTGCACACAACCACGTGCATATGGAGCTCAAGAGATGACTTGGGTTTTCAATCCTTTTTCCAGCAGTGCCACCATTGCAGGGGTGGAGCACTTGTATAACCCTTCATGGATACTAAAGTTGCTTTCATTTTTGCTGTTACAAACAGTGATGGTTGCCAGGTGGTGGTGGCAGCACATGCATCTCTAATCTAATAATTTTATGAGTCTGAGACCAGCCTGGTCTGCAGAGCTATTTCCATGACAGTCAAGGCTACACAGAGAAGAGCCTGAGTTGAAAAATTTAAATCATAACAACAAAATGACCCCCTGCCCCACCCCCCTCTGCAAACAACCCAGCAAACAAAATAAAGATGGCTTCTGGGATGGTTAACCTTCACTGTCAACTTGGGTTAACAAACGTCTAGGAGCTAGATATACTCTGACTTGTGACTATGAGGGCGTTTACAGAGAGGACTAACTGAGGTCAGAAGACTCTGGGCGTGGTAGGCGCTATTCCATAGTTACCATAGGCAGGGCTCCTATATTGAATAATTAAAAAAAGAAAGAAAGAGAAAGAAAGAAAGGAAGAAAGAAAGAGAAGGAAAGAAGAGGGAGAGAGAGAGAAAGAGAAAGAGAGAGAAAGAAAGAAAAATGAAAGCCACCTTAGTGTGGAGAGCCTTTTGTCCTTCATAAACTGTCTGGGAATGATGGACTTTCTTTAAGTAGTAGGATAAACTCATCTCTCTTTACTTTTTTGGTTGTGGGTGGGGCGTTTTATGTATTACAGGCTGGCCTGGAATTCCTGATCCTTAACTTCCCCCCCACCCCCAACACATCCAGAGGGCTGAGATTACAGGCTTGCATGACACCTGAATTATTTGGTGATTAGGATCAAAAGCTTGCCTCTCCTGTAAGTGCTCTGCTATTGAGCTGCAATCATTACCTTTTCTGGGGTTGGTATGGGATGGTTTGAAACAGGGTCTCAAGTAGTTTAAACTCTGGATCCTCTGGCCTATGCCTCTCTAGCTGTGGGATTACAGGTTGGCATTACTTTTTATTTCTAGAAGTGGTCTCACTCTGAAGCCTAGGTTGATCTGGAACTCATTAGCTATCCCAAACTGGCTTCCAACTCACAGCAGTTCTCCAGCCTCAGCGACCCAAACGGAATTACAGATGTGAGCCACCATAGCTGCTTCATGCTCCCTGCCTCCCCAACCCCCATTTAATATTTTTTAGTTGTAGGCAGGGTCTAAAATGTCTAGGCAGGACTTGAATTTGTCAATCCTCCTGCCTCTTCTTCCTGAGCAGTTGGTTTTACAGGTTTATCCAGCAGGCCTGGTTCTGTTTTGTGTGTATACGGCTTGTGCCTTCTAACCCCAATTCCGTCACTTTCTGGGTGTGTCACTTGGTTTTTGCCGAACCACAGTTTCCTGCATTGTAAAAAAAAAAAAGATGGGGTGACAAGGCCTGGCACGCGCGTCCGGTACCAAGGGGCCCGCCCAAACACCCTCCATTGGTATTTTCGGCTCTCGGGTGTCCCCAGCAGGCACCCCGCGCTCTTCCAGGGCCACGTGAGAAGCTCCACCCCCACATCGTTCCCACCCAACCAGAAAGCTTCGTGAGGCGTAGGAGCACACCCCAGACCGTCGGACCAACAGGCGCGCTCCGTCTTGCCCGGAGTCACGCCCCTCTCCCGTTGGAGCAATAGGCGCCGGCCCTGGCGCTGGCTCCGCCCCTGCCGCACGCCGGCCGCCGGCCGCAGGGCAGGTTCAGCGGAGCTGACGCCGAGGCTGCGGAGTAGGCGGTGGGGCCGAGGCCTTGGGTGAGGGCGCGGTGTAACGCTGGGCCGGGTCAGCTGGAGGAGCTGAGGGGACTTCCGGCGCGCGGCTCCGGAGGCCAGTGTCTCCCTCAGGCCCGGGGCGGGACGGGGCGGCGGGAGCCGAGCGGCCACCCCGCCCGCGGCCCGCCCTTGGCGTCCGGGGCCTGCGGGCTCGTGCAGCCCAAAAGGCGGCTTCGCACGCGCTCGGCGCCTCGCGAGGGGCTTCGGAAGGTCGACCGCTGCGCCGCGCCGCGCCGGAAGCGCCTCGGCCTCTCGGGAGTGGCGCGGTGTTGACAGCTGCGCTCGCGGACTTCGGCTGTGCGTCGTTCGGGCTCGGCGCTGGGCCCGTGGGCGCTTCTCGGAGCGCTGTGGCGTCCCTGAAGCCCGCAGCACTGGGATGGGCAGACGACAGGAACTGGAAAGGTGAGTGAGGCCAATCCCCGCCGTTGCCCTAGCGGCTTCCCGGTGGCGTGAGGTGAGCAGCCCCGAAGGCTGCTGCTACAATCCTCGTCCCTCTGTCCCTGGCAGGTGCCCATGGCGTCGGAGCGGCGCAAGGTCAAGTATCACTGGGGCAGCACGTCGGAAGGGTGTCCCAGCAAGCGCAGCCGCCCCCGGGAGCCCCGCAATGTGGCCCCCTCCAGCCGGCCAGGTCGCAGATGTGCGTCGCGTCCTCGAGGGGCCAGCAGCCCCCAGCGTCTGAAAGTCCGGCGCGGGGACGATGTGGCCCGCGCTTCTCGGAGCTCAGCTCGCCGCCGCACCTCCTCTTCCTCTTCGTCGTCCTCTCTCTCTTCGGGCTCAGGTGCGGGTGGGGCCGCCTCCCCTGGCTTCCTGATTGCGAGCCCTCGCAGATTACTTACGTCCAAGGGGTCCTCTCTGCACCCTGCCCACTCCTCCCTAGAAGAAATGGCTTCTCTGCGGAAGGAAGCTTGTCGCGTTAAGGTACGTGACAGCGACACGTCTGGCAAACGGTGAAGTCCCTTGCACGTGGCTTGAGGGGTGGAGAGAAGAAATTTGGTGGGAAGAGAGTAAAAATCAGATCTTTATGTGTAGGGCCTGGGGGTGTTTGTGGGGTGTTCAGGGGGTAGAGCTCGGTGTAGAGGGAGTTTTCAAACTTGGTGGCATTTGGAAAGCTTGACAATGGTTGTGGCCTGCCATCCCAGAGAGTGATCTCTGCAACCTTTGGGGGATTGTAAATGAACAGTGGGACTGGAGGTTCACCACAATGGCCGGTGGAGTAGTGCCCAGGAAAGAGGATGTAGATTTTGGTCAGTTTAGAGTTTGCCTTTGAAGCCGGAGAGAAGGCACATACAGCTCTTGAAGGAGGACCCAAGTTCTAAGAGCCCAGGTCGTATGAGTCACCTGTAATTCCAGCTCCCAGGGATCCCTTTCCTCTGGCCTCCATGGCTGTCTGCATGTGCATTTACCCACATACATACACTTAATTAAAAGTAAAATTAAATTGTCTTTGTACTCTGAATCGCAGCTAAGGAATTGGACTCTTACTGTGGCTTTTCTCTAAAGTTGTGGATTCCTGCATGTGACATTCTCTTTGGATGGTTTGGTTAACAGAGTTTTGAATTTTTGAGATGGGGTCTCTCTGTAGACCAAGCTGTCCTGAAACCCACGGATACCTGCCTGGTTTAAAGGCATGTGTCATTATACCTGGCTTCGGTGTTTTTTTTTTTTTTTTTTTTTTTTTAATTATTAGTAGTTATCTTTGGAGATCAACTCAAGTCAAGTTTCCCAGTGGTAGCACACAGTGGGGTTTGTAATTTCTTGGAGCAGATTGAGGAGTGCTTCTAAGAGCAGACCTGTTTCAGGTTTTGAGTGGATTTACTGAGGGCCTGCTTTGTGCCAGGCAGTGTTCTAGGAGTGTGAGATTCTTTAGTAACTGTAAAACAAAGGTCCCTACTCTTCTACTGATACTACAATGTAGATTTTGGAGCTCTGGTGGTCTTAAAAAGTGGTCAGGCATTGTTTATGTAGAAGAGTGCTTAGAGAAAGTCTCTGGGGAAAGATGGGCTGCCCCTAGGGAAAGCAACAAAGGTAGTCTGCAAGGTAAGGGAGTTTAAAACCTTTCCTAATGGTTTCTTTTTTAGAAGGCTTCATTTAGTCTTTAGTTCATTTAGTTAAACTCCACATGTACCCAAGGATGACTTTGCAGTCCATATCTTCCTGTCTCTACCTCCTGAGTGTTGACGTGTGTCACTACATTTGACTCTCTTGCTGGTTTTATAAATGAAGCTGAGTCTTGGTTGTTTAACTCTAGAGAGCTCTTTGGCTAAGTGTTTTTCTTTTTTAAAATTTATTTTTATTTCATGTGCATTGGTCTTTTGCCTGAATATGTGAGGGTGTCAAGTTGCCTAGAACTGGAGTTATAGACAGTCATGAGCTGCCCTGTGAATCCTGGGAATTGAACTTGAGTTATCTGAATTGAGCCATACTAGTGCTTATAATTGCTGAGCCATTTCTCCAACCCCAAGTGTTTGTTTTCTTTTCTTTTTTTTTATTTATTCATTTAATGTATATGAGTATACAGCTGCTCTCTTCAGACACACCAGAAGAGGGCATCGGATCCCATTACAGATGGTTGTGAGCCACCGTGTGGTTGCTGGGAATTGAACTCAGAACCTCTGGAAGAGCAGTCAGTGCTCTCAACCTTTGAGCTATCTCTCCAGCCCTGTTTTCTAATCACATGCTCTACAGCTGAGTTCTATCTTCAACTCATGTTGCATGTTTTCTCAATAATAAACTTTATAGCCTGAGCTCTGGAGGGCAAGAGGAATTTTTCAAAGTTCACAAATAATGAGGAATTGAAAAGTTGTCTTTGGCAGAATAGTACTGACTACTCAGATGTAAGTCAGGTAAATACAAGCCTTTGCTCATACAACTTAATTTTGTTACTAGTTCATCCATGTGGGTTTTGGACCTTATCAATGTTAGATGATTGCATTTTTGACACAGAGAACCCCAGTGTCATGGACAGGAATTTTCAGGCACAGGCTATGCTGCTGTTTGGCAGTTAATTGAGGGTATGGCCTCTAATCTGTTTGAGTCTAATCCTAGCCTGGTTTTATCTTTTATGAAGGCCATCGGGGTCTCCTTTGATAGTTACAGGCAGTACTTGAGTGTTATTGTATGCCCAACATTCTTTTGGGTCACGGAGCCAGGTGTGATGAGAGGACTGGGGAGTTGGCCCCACGACCTCAGGAAGTGTAGGCCTCCTTCCTTGTGACCTTGTTGTCTTGAGTCTCAGGTATTGTGGGCTGGCACAGCTGAGGAGTATTGATGAAAGCATTTTCCCAGGGTCTTCTCAGGTTGCTTACTCATTGTCCTCCCCAGCTCTGCCTTCTTTGACTTAAACAGGTGCACACTTACCTTTGTGTGTTCTAAGCTTTCAGCTCAGAGCTCTCAGTGTAAGGACACAGAATGTTCAAAAGGAAGATGTTGGAATATTTTTATTTACTCCCTGCTGGGATTGGCTCAGGACCTCAATATGCTAGGCAAGTCCCCTATCACTGAGTTATATCCCCTTAATAAACAGTCCTGATGTCTACCTCACTTTACCCTTTTGTTATTTCTTAAGTCTGAAGTTGACTCTTGTTTTTGTTTTGAGGGGGTCTTACAGCTTAATTTGGTCTTTGAAATCCTGATCCTCTTGTCTATACTGAGTGCTGCCAGGGATGTCCCTACCATGATGGTGATGTAGTGTCTGCTGCAGCTGATGCTTCTTCCTGTTCATTAGGCTTAGTGGGAAGTGACTTCATATTCTCACTGGTTCTGCTGCTTTTTATTTTTTGAAACAAAAATTTTAATACATAACTCAGACTTACATGGAACTCAATATGTAGCCCAGGCTGACTCATTTACAGTGATCCTCTTACCTTAGCTTAGTGTTGTGATTATAGGTGTGTGCCACTATATCTGGCCTGAGAGAGTATGTTTACTTTGAGAAGAACTTAATATAAATCCTCAAGCTTCAGTGAGTGTAGAATGCCCTGGGTTCATGTATGTTGTGTTTTACAGCTGGGGAGGTTTCATGTTTCATTGCCTTTGGGAGGGCTCTACCATGCTAGGCTAAGAGTGGTCCTGAGTGTTAACACAAACTAATCATAGTCTAGCTTATCTCCTGTGGACTCTTGGAATGAGTGCGTGCAGAATGGGTGTGAGAATGACTTGGTGCATGCTGAAGTCATCTTTGGGAGAGTACCCTCCTAACAGCAAGGTTACAGCTGGGGAAAGAATTCAAAGATTTGAGGAAAGATTAGACCATAGGGGCAAAAGAACTACTTAGGACTGGGGAACTTGGGTTCCTTGGGCCAGTCCTATCCTTTGTCAGGGTCTTAGGGTTCCTGATTTTTGTAGTGAGACTGGGCAACGTCCAGTGAAAAAACAATGAACTGTTATTTTGTCTAGCACTGCAGCTATACTGTTACATCTCTATGCTCCCTGCTCACTCTGGCAAGAGGATGTCACGATGCATTTTAGAAGTGAATTTTAAGTAAATGACTGAAGCTTTTATATGTATATGTATATATATGAGCTTTCCACAGTAGAGTGGGAAGAAGCTGCTCTCTGGTAGAGTCTTAATCTTGTGACACTCACTTTCATTTCCCTTGGGCTGATGGAACCAGTAATGACTTGTCATTGACTAAGTGCTGCAGATAGGAAAATGCTCTTGGAACAAACCTTTGAAAGTTTCTTTTAAATTCCAGGTTGATTCTAAAGATAGTTCTTGTCGCTCTACGAACTCTGAATTTGCAACAGAAGCTGAGGGTCAGAGTGATGCTATGGAGGAACCCAACAAGTTCCAGAAAAGGAAGAAGGACAGGCCTCAAGACCAGGGCTCAAGAGTGATCTACCTGAAGGCCATCCAGGGCATCCTGGGGAAGTCGATGCCCAAGAGGAAGGGAGAGGCTGCCACTACTCCGGGGAAGGCAAATGTGGGAGAGTATTCTAACCAGGAAGGACCAAGCAGGAAGGTGGAAGGACCAGCCAGGAGTAGGGAAGGACCCTTGGCCAGGAGTGTGGAAGGACCATCCAAGAGCCGGGAAGAACTGGTCAAGAGCATTGAAGAGGGACCAGCTGGAAAGGTTACAGTTACTGTTCCTCAGAAAGAGGAGTCACATCCGAAGGTTAGGGTGGAGAAGGAAGAGTCTGCGCTAGAGAGGAGCGGCTTCTGTGACAGAAGAGTGATTATAGATTCTGTGAAGAAAACTAATGAGGAGCTGCTTGGTGACCGAAGGACAGTCATTGACAAACCCTCCCCATCCCTAGAATTTTTTGATAACTCTGACTCTCTTGCAGATATTCAAAAGGTAAATGAGCACACTCTAGGTTTTTTTGGTTCTGTTTTTTGGGTTTTGAATTCTCTTAATTACATATATTTGTCATTTAGTCTTTCTAGTTTGATTCTAAGAGATATAGACGGTACTATTCTTAGTGTCATCCCCATCCTGACCTGTGTTTCCCACCATTAGGAGGATCAGACTCAGGGCCCTAGGAATTCTAGGCAAGAGCTTTAACTCTGACTCCTAGCTCCTCGGAGGATAGTAATTAAAAGCAATACTTTATTTAATGTGGACTCCAGGAAATTAGAGCTCCTCTTCTGCCATTACATCCAGTTGTTAATAAACTTCAGATCAGTTTTTAAAAAAATATGTTAAAAATTATATTAAATGTAAGGTATAGGTTTGCTTATATTGAAAAAGAAAACATGAATAGTGGCTTAAACAAAATAGAGTTTTGTCTTAAGAAGGCTGGGTCCCATCCCAACTTCAGGGATCTTGGTGCCTTCTGTCTTGATACTCTGCCCTGCTAAATACAGTATCCATCTTATAGCCTGAGATGGGGATGCTGATAGAATTGAGTTTGTTACTTAGACATTGGCCAATAGAAAGCAGATGAGAGAAAAGGAAATAATACACTTCTTTTCTCTTGAGAACTTGGTTCAAAAGTTGTACACGTTGAATCGTCTCACACTTATTTAGAAGCATCTTTAAATCCAGTAATATCTGGCTTCAAAGGAGTCTGAGAAATTCTGCCTTGAGCCCCCAGTGTTCAATTGTCAGGTTCCACACTGATGGTTTTCATCTGAATCTAAATGCATTGCAAAAGCCTTTGAATCACATAGTTAGGTTAAATTTACAACTTTTGTAACCTCAGAGTGGGGTTAAGGTCAGTGTGAATTCTGGAGGGGAGAGACCATTCTGGAATGACAGTATTGGATGAGGGAGGGGTTACCCATAGGAGGGCTGACTTGTTGCTTTTCTTCTCTGCAGCACACAGACAGAGAGGTAGTGATGGAGCATCAGTCTTCAGGGAGCGACTGGTCGGATGTGGATGAGCTGTCCACTGTGAGGTTCTCCCAAGAGGAACCTGTCTCACTGAAATACTCAGCAGTTCCAGAATCTTCTTCCTTTCCCACTGACTATGTTATGTACCCTCCTCATTTGTATAGTAGCCCATGGTGTGACTATGCCAGCTACTGGACTAGCAGCCATAAGACACCTGATTATCCATTGGTGGGATCCAGCAACCATGACTCAGCACAGGCTGGGAAGAGCAGCCAGGATCTTCAGAATGTTCACTCCTCCAAGTCCACAGTGAGTACCCAGAGCATCTCCAAAGGCCTAGACACTGCCAAGGAAGGGAGGTCCCAGAATTCCCACTCACTTCGACTCTCCAGGAGCACAGAAGAGGAGAAGGAGGCGAAGGGGAAGAGGACATTCCAAGAGGAGACACCACTTCACCACACCAGAGAACATACATCCAGCTCTTTGCCAAGGAGCCACCGGGAGCTGAGCCTGGAAGAGGGCTTCATTGATACCCACTGTCATCTGGACATGCTCTATTCCAAGCTGTCTTTCAAGGGGACCTTTACAAAGTTCAGAAAGATTTATAGCAGCTCCTTCCCTAAGGAGTTTCAAGGCTGCATCTCTGACTTCTGTGATCCGAGGACATTGACTGATGGCCTATGGGAGGAACTCCTGAAAGAAGATCTGGTTTGGGGGGCCTTTGGCTGTCACCCACATTTTGCACGATACTATAATGAGAGTCAAGAAAGAAAGCTTTTGCATGCCTTACGCCACCCCAAGGCTGTGGCATTTGGGGAGATGGGCCTGGACTACTCTCACAAGTGCACCACACCAGTTCCTGAGCAGCACCAGGTACTGGCTCTATCTAGTCTGCTTTCCTTCAGACATTTCCTTTAGTGGGTGAACTTTCCAGTAAGGGCTGTTAGTATTTTTTTTTTTTTTTTTCTCAAGACAGGGTTTCTCTGTGTAGCCCTGGCTGTCCTGGAACTCACTCTGTAGACCAGGCTAGCCTCGAACTCTCGAACTCAGAGATCCACCTGCCTCTACCTCCCAAGTGCTGGGATTAAAGGCATGCGCCACCACTGCCCGGCCATGCTGTTAGTATGTTGAAACTCCCAAACTGGCCTGAAATTTTGGTCCTTTTGCTTTAGCCTCCCCAGTGGTAGGATTATAAACCCTTGCCACCATGCCCAATTTACAAACTCTGCTATCTTTTAGTGGAGGGTTTTGTTTTTGTTAGTTTAGTTTGGTTGGGAAGTTTGTATTGTTGAAGATTAAATCCAGGGTCTTTGCAATTGCTAGGAATGTTCTCTGTCACAGAGACACACTCTAGCATTTCATTTTTTATTTCCTTTTATAAACCTAGCTAACCTGGAACTTGTTATGTAGACCAGACTAGCTTGGAATTCAGAGAGCTCTTGGCCTCCACTTCTCTAGTGATATAATTAAAGGCATGTGTCACCACATTTGACTCTATTAGGACTTTTACAAAAGTAAGATGGAGAAGAGGCATTTTGAGACTTTGTTTCTTGCTTTTGTTTTTTGAGATAGGGTCTCTGTGTGATCCTGACTGTTCTGGAACTAGCTCTGTAGACCAGACTGGCCTTGAACTCAGATTCGTCTGCCTTTGCCTTCCAAGTGCTGGGATTAAAGGCTCATGCCACTGCCACCCAGAACATTTTGAGACCTTTAAAAAAAATTACATTTATCTATTTAGTCATATATGTGTGTTCATGTGTATGCACATGTGAGTGGAGATCAGAGGAGTTGGTTTTCTCCTTCCACTGTGTGGGTCATGGGAATTGAACTCAGTTGTCAGGCTGGGTGGCAAATGCCTTTATCCACTGGTCCATCTTCCTGGCCCTTATTGAAACAACTATTTTTAAAGATCCATTTTAATGTTAGTGGCGTCCGTATGTGGATGTATGCACATGAGTGCAGGTGCTAGTGAAGGACTGCAGAGGTATTACAGGCCCTGGTGGGATTCCAGGTGTTGATGAGCTGCCTTGCATGGTTTCTGGGAAATCAGCGCAGGTCCTCAGGAAGAACAGGAAATATACCTAACTGTTGAGCAGTCTCTCCAGCTGCCTGTTTTGAAACTACTACTCCTTTTTGTTGTTGTTGTTGTTGTTGTTTTGAAACAGGATTTCTTTGACTAGCCTTGGCTATCCTGGAACTCACTACATAGATTAGGCTGGCCTTAAAACTCAGATTCTCCTACCTCTGCCTGCTAAGTGCTGGGATTGAAGGTATCTACCACTGCTGCCCAGCACTCTGGAAGCTTTTTATGGCTAATGTCAGTGATAAGACATTTGCTTTTTATCTGAAAGCAGCACATTTTTTCTTCATTCATTTTCTTGTGTGAAGTTAGGTGTCATGTAGCTCAGGCTGTCCTTGAACTAGTGATCTAGCTGAGGATGACCTTTAACTCTTGATCTTGGGTCTACCTCTCCAAGTATAGCACCATCTCACAGGTGTGTTTTGGTTTTATAAAGTAAAGTATGCCGCCAGGCGGTGGTGGTGCACGCCTTTAATCCCAGCACTTGGGAGACAGAGGCAGGCGGATTTCTGAGTTTGAGGCCAGCCTGGTCTATAGAGTGAGTTCCAGGACAGCCAGGACTACACAGAGAAACCCTGTCTCGAAAAAACAAAAACAAAACAAAACAAAAAAAAAATGTAATTCTCTTTCAATTTGAGATAATGACTATTAACCATCATAACATTTTCTTTTTCCTGAGTATTTTTTTGAACTTGGCATTTAGGTAGGGAAAGAGTCCTTTCAGTGGACTTCTCTGATGGACAGTAGGAAGCTAGGTCTTTGAAATCTTAGATTGTGCCCATTCCACAGGCTACAGACCTTGGGGCTGGAGTGTTGGGGTCCTGACTGCAGAATTTGGCTTGCTGGTTTTTATCTGGCTCTTTTCATATCTGGCTTGAGGTGGTAATGTGTTAGCCATTTGACACATATTATAAAGTAACTACATCTGAACACATTTAAGGGAAAATAAAGTCTCAGGATAGTGAGACATAATGCTCTGCTTTTCCTCTCGGGCCCTAACTTACTGAGGATTTCTATTGTAGTTATAAACACCACAACCACAAGAAGTCAAGAGTAGGAACCTGGAGGCAGGAACTGAAGCAGAGGCTTTGGAGGAATGGTGCTGACTGGTTTACTCCCATGGCTTGCTCCTCCTGCTTTCATACATACTCTGAGACTACCAGTCTAGGGGTGTGCTATCCACAGTGGTCTGGGCCTCCCCGTGTCAACCATCAGTCAAGGAAATCCCCCACAGGCAATATTGGTAGGGCCATTTTCTCAATTAAGGTTCACTTTTTCCAAATGACTCTACCTTGTGTCAAATTGACAAAACATTAACCAGGATAGTCCCAGTGGCACAGGTTAGGTGAGCCAAGGGAAGAGGAGCAGTTCAGGGAGCTCCTCACCAAAGTGTCACAGTTGTATAGCTGGTGTTTACTGGATGTCTGCTTGTTGTCCGGAACCCTGCTAAAAGGACTTGATATAGTACCTAAGTCCTTTGTTAGATTATGAGGGGCTCAGATCACATCTAGGGTCCCAGAGTCACTCTGCTCAAGCTGAACTTGCCCAGTGATCTTCTATCTGTCACTTGGTTTGGTGAAATGAGACTCAAGATAAAAAAAAAAAGTTGCTGGCTAGGGAAGGGCAGAACACAAACCTTAAATGTTTCTGTTAACATGGGGCTCTAAGCTGAAGAGAGGAAGTGGCTGCTATACTTTTGACATAAATCTTAAATTAGATACCTGGTAAAGTGAATAGTGACCAGCAAGCAACCTGTTTTCTTTGGCTGAAAGTCTTACTTTGAGGGGAAGAAGAGTCTAGAGAAGGATTGTTTGCAATATTGGGAGGAGTCAGAACTGACAGTTGTAATCGCTTAAGTACTTAGCATGGGCCATGCTAGGGCCACAGAACACACAAGTGGTGCGTAGCCATAGGTACAGGCTGTTAGGCTTAGTTTTACCAGATACTTCCTGAAAGATTAAGAAAACAGTGGGGGGAAATATAGAGCTCATTAGGTCTTTCCTTGTTTTTATGTTTGTGGTCATGGATTTAACTATTTAACTTCCAAGGATAAGGCCCTAGATATTTCCTGAGTACATTGCACAGATTATCCATTAAAAGGATCAGAATACTTTGAAAAGCCAAGAAGAATGGAGTCTGTTCCCACTCAACTTCCTTGAACCCTGGGTATTTGTGTTTGCCAGGAATTAGTTATTGAAGTAATAATTATTGAGGTAGTAAGGATGCAGGAAAGACCTGGTTCCCTTAGGAGAGTCGGGTTAAGTCTTCAGTCACTGAAATGACAGGTCAGCTGAGGACTGCATTGTTATTGGGGAGAGTGCTAGGATAAATAACACAGGTGGACACCCTTTCTTGTTTAACCCTGCATGCTAGGGAGTTTACTGGTTTTGTTTTTATAATTTGAATGTGTATGTCAAGCTATTGTATATTTACTGTTAGGATTCTCGGTAAGTTGCAAGGGACAGTTGGTAGTTTGTCTTAAGAATACCTGTTGAAGATTCAAGGAAATGTGTTTTTATAGGTGGTCCCACCCTCCTCATGCAGTGGCTAGACTCTAGGGTTTTGGGCAGATGTTCTGTGACAATTTTAAGCAAACAAAATAGAAGAGTCAGGGAGATAGCTCAGTGAGTAAGAAGATTTGCTGTGCAATCCAGAGGACCTGAGTTTGGATTCTAGCACCCACATAAAAATCATTTGCTTTGTTTATGGTTATTGCCCATTGCTTAACACTGGGATGCTAGTGAGATGGCTCAGTGGGTAAAGGCACGTGTCAAAAACCTGCCTGATGACCTGAATTTTATCTTCTGGACTCACTTGGTGGAAGGAGAGAGCCAACTCCTGAGAGTTGTCTTCTGACCTTCCCTTACCCCCAACCTTGCCCCAAAATAAATAATAAAGATGTGATAATTTTTTAAAAAGTTAAAGGTGGGCTGGAAAGATGGTTCAGTGGTTAACAGAACTCACATGGCAGCTTATAACGACTGTAGCTCCAGTTCCAGGATATCTGACACCTTACGCAGACATACATGCAGGCAAAACACCAATGCACATACAATAAAAATAAATCATTACAAAAAAGTTTAAAATGTTACATTAGAATTAATATTGGCTTTTGACCCCGTTTTGAGAAGATTTGGCACATGGCTTTAGACTTGTCAATGTCATTCCTAAGTGGACATTATCAAAAGTGTGTTGTTGCTGATACTGAACATACAAGCATGGGCTGTGCTCTATAGCTACAAAAACTGAGTATGGAACTATCATGTGAGACAACTTGCTGAAAAAATTCTGGTGCTATTTCTTGTAAACCTGGCCATGGTAGAGAAGAGACAGACTTAACTCTACTTGTTTACTTACATTATTAACTGGATTTTACCAGTTACTTCATTCTACAGAATGAAGTAGATCCACAGGTACTTACTTAGAGACATTCAGAAACTGTGATCTCTAAGACCTAGACATTCTGTTGGAGTGTGTGAGTGGACAACTCTTGCATAGGGAAAAGTCTAGAAGATGATTACTTCTTGAAAGTGGAGGTAAGGTATTGAGCTGAAGGACAGCAAATTGGTATTAGGCATTCTAGATCTCTGCCTTTGCACCCCTGTGCAACATTCCTTGACAGCTGCTCAGGGAACCAAACCTCGGGGTGCTGGGACAGGGTTCTCAAGTTCTCGGTTACTGCTTTCCGGATTGATCATAGTGTCTCCCCAGGGAATCAGTGAGGATTGTAGGTTGTTGAGCAGCACAAGGGCTTTGAGGAATCTGAAGTGTAGGAAGGACTAGTAGATAGTAGTCATGTTTAATTCTTTTGTACAGTTTAGAAGCAAAGAATTAGAGACAGCTGAAGTACCCAGACACAACAGACAGAAGGGCCACTAATCAGCTGCTGTTACTTTGTTTTATCTCAGGTGTTTGAGAGGCAGCTGAAGCTGGCCGTGTCTCTGAAGAAACCCTTGGTCATTCACTGCCGTGAAGCTGATGAAGATTTGTTGGATATCATGAAAAAATTTGTGCCCTCTGACTACAAGATCCATAGGTTAGGAGCTGCAGTTTGAGTGGGCACATGGCACTCCTGCACTAGCTGCAGATGAAATGCAAGGAAAGCAGTCATGCTATTTGGGTGTTTTTTGACGCCTTTACAGTCTGAATCCTTATTACATTTTAAAAGTCATTTGAATTTTTTTTTTTTTTTTAGATTTTTCACATATGAGTACTTTAATTACATCATATCTACCTCTGTCCCCGATTTACATTAAAGAAAAATTTGTCAGTTTTGAGACAAGGGTCTTGAAAAGCCTTAGGTTAGCCTGGAACTCACAGATAACATCTGTTACTTCAAACTCCAGAATGCTGGGATTACAAGGCGTGTCAGCACACATGGCTTCCTATTATGTGTAAAGTATGTTTTTAAAAGAATTAAGCACTAAGTAGAACCACATGAAATTTTTGGTACTTGACTCTGCTTATACAGCAGAAATTTTTTAGCAGTTTAAAGTAATACCCTTTAATGACAAATGAGCTAGAAGGGGCTTCCTGGTCTCAGATGTGGGAGAGGCTGATCTAGGGTCCAGTAACTCAGCAAACAGAGGACCTTCCAAGGTTTCTGAAAAGATACGTCTTGTATTTCCTTTCCTTACTCGAATTTGAAAGCTCTTTTTTTGTTTTGTGATAGGCTCTCATGTTAACCCAGACCAGACTTGAGATATGTAGCTGAGGAGTACTTTGAATTCCTGATCCTCCTGCCTGTCTCCCCTCTGCTGGAATTACAAGTATGCACCACCATCCCTGATTAAAAACTCCATTTATCCCAGTTAGCATTAAAGGTCCAGGTTGTTTACCTCAGTGGCAGCCACAGTCTTAGTCTAAGAAGCTTCCTTGCATCCTATACTGCATGTGCCAGGCATGGCCCCCTCTCTGGGATGCCATTGGGGGCTGTCAAAGAAGGACAAGGGCTACTGGGGATAGAGTATGCAGAGTGTGGGACAGAGGTGGACATAGGTGGATACAGAGGGAGCCCAGGTAGGGGCCCTTTAGCCTGGCTGGAAATGGTCGGGGGTTGACATTTGAGCCCTTTAGCTGGAGGGAAGAATAGTATTGAAGGAGGCTGGAACCAAATTCTAGGTCTTGTTGGGTAGTAGAAAGGAGTGGGCTTTCATCCACCATGCTGCCACCCACTGGGTACTGAAGCCATGTCTGAGGTGCAGTGGAGAACTGGTTGGTTGGGTTTTCAGGACTTTAACAATGGCTGTCTTTAGAGAGACAGCTGGACCAAAGTTATGAGACTTGATGGAGAGTTGTGGCTGCAGGAAGCCCTGATTTGCAGATGAGTTGACAGTATTTCTTGCCTAAGAACATGAACTACTGTTACATTCAAGAAGAAAATTCTTGCTCTTGGGAGGCAGAGGCAGGCAGATTTCTGAGTTCGAGGCCAGCCTGGTCTACAGAGTGAGTTCCAGGACAGCCCCGGCTATACAGAGAAACCCTGTCTCGAAAAACAAAAAAAAACAAAAAAACCAAAAAGAAAATTCTTAATCCTAGCTCTTGAAAAGCAGAGTCAGGTGGATCTCTGTGAGTTTGAGGCCATCCTTCTCTGCATAGTGAGTTCCAAGGCAGCCAGGGTTATTGTAGAAAGACCCTATCTCAAACAAACAAATTCACTTGTGACCTACTGCTCACCATTATTTTCATTTGGCCGTTTCTTTTTAGTGCATCTGACAACAGAGGCATGACTTTTCCATGCTGTAGTTATAACCTGGGGAGGGCAGGTCTTTATTCCTTGTATCTCCTCTACTATACTTCTCCAGCCTGTACCATGGCTGTAGTTGTGTCAGATGGCTGCCCAGATTGTGGGGTGAAGATGGGACTGGTAGTTTTTAGTATCTGAACCTCATGTCAGCTTGGTCTTGCCGTGTTTGGTCTGGCTCCTTTCTCAGCTTGCTCTGGAGTCTGCTTGGGTGTAAATTTTTCTTTTCTAGGATCCACTAATGGGGGCTGCAGGCCTGTAGGCAGCTAGGGGCTGCTGCTGAGGCCTGGAAGTAAGCCCTGAACTATACTCTCCCACAGGCACTGCTTCACTGGCAGCTACTCAGTCATTGAGCCCTTGTTGAAGTACTTCCCTAACATGTCGGTGGGCTTCACAGCAGTGCTGACCTACTCCTCCGCCTGGGAGGCTCGGGATGCCCTTAGACAGATCCCGTTGGAGAGGATCATTGTGGAAACTGATGCACCCTACTTTCTCCCTCGCCAGGTAGGACTGTCTTCAGACCGACCTGAGGTACTGAGGCGAGTGGGTGGGAGGCTGGCTGGGCCCGAGTCCCAGTGTCCTCTTGGTCCACCTTGTACGATATAGGTGTCTCCCTGTTGTTACTCTGTAGAACCAAAAGTCCTGGGGGCTGAGAAGCTGAAGGGTAACCACTCTCTTCCAGGCAGTGGAAAGCCCTACCCTGTAGAGGGTAGTCCATGGAAGCGTGGGACCCTGCTCACCCAGAGCCCCCCATGACTAGGACTCTCCCTGCACCTGCAGGTAAAGGGGTCTCTACAGGGCAGCCCCAAAGAGGTCCTTGCTGGGGATGGGATGGGGACGCTCTATGTGACAGACACGTGCAGAAGGCACAGCGATGATGGAAATGCTTGCTGTCTTCCAGGTGCCGAGAAGTCTCTGCCAGTATGCCCATCCAGGCTTGGCCTTGCACACAGTTCGAGAGATTGCCAGGGTCAAAGAGGAGTCACTTTCCCACACTCTGTCAGTACTCCGAGAGAATACCAGTCGCCTCTACAGTCTTTGAGCAGGGAGCACGAGCAGGCGTCTTCTGGCAAAGGTCATAAGAGCCGCATGTTTCTTAGCAGTCAACAATGGGAGTCTTTTCTCTGGTGTAAACTACTAACTGGCATGTCTAGTCTGTAGTCTCTGGGCTACATGTGGCCAAGGAATGTTATGAATATAATTGAATAGGAGATCTTAAACTTCAAGATTTATGTATTTTGTAATTAGATTGCCTGCTTCTTACATATGAACTTTTAGATAACTGTGTTATATTACAGTGTTAAAGGTTGGACTGGCTCAGTGGGTAAAGGCACTTACTGTGTAAGCCTGGTGAACTGAGTTTGATCCTTAGCAGCCAAATAAAGGTGGAAACTCCACAGAATTGCTGTATGCCTACTGTAGCATGCATGTCTGCTCAAATATGCACAATCACAGTAATAATAATTTAAAAAAGAAAGAATGTAAGTTTAGGGTTGGTATTAAGCCTGGTTTGTTGAGCTTGAACTTAGAACCTTCTTTTCTCTTTTAAACCCTCTAGGATGACCGGTGTCGTGATAGTATAGGACGGGCTCCATCTGTCTGTCCAAGGTGAAGGATGTGTTGGAGATCCTGTCAAAACTCAGCAAACCAGGATGTTACCTTGGAACCTCATCACAAGGCTTCACTTGCTGGTTGCTGGGTGGGTGGGTACTGTGGAATGGATTTGAGGTGAGGCGTAGTTTTGCCTGTTGGCCACAAGGCCCCAGGGTAATCAGTGAACAACAGAAAAAACCATTTGTGATACAGAGTACAGTGAGATGGCCAGTCTGGATCCCTGCCCTTTGGCCTGGGTTTCCCAGCAGTCTGAATAAAGTCACCTCTTTATCTGAGCACATGTGGATATATAATCTGGTCCCTTCTTCCCTGTCATGAAAGGAACTTTCTGAGGGAGGTCTCCTGGGCATTTTCTGCAACCTTGGCTCAGGTGCCACCTTGCATGACTTCCGTGATTGCCACTGGTTCTGTGTCTCTGAGGTACCTATCTTTATGATCTCATGGCTATGTGATGGTGTGTCATGTGAGAACTAAAGAACGAGGTCTTCCTGAACCCCAGCGGAGGCAAGCTGTCCACCCTCAGTGAAGCCCCTGTGACAGGTCGCTGAGTATCTGGGGCCCATTTTTGTATCCTTTTCATAAAACCCTGGGCCAGGAATATTTCCCTCCTTTCATACTTCGCAGTCTCCCTGTGTCCTCTACCCATGCTGACATTCCCTAAAGCTCACTCGAGGCTGTGGTCATTTGGATTGTTAATGCTAAGCAAGCAGTCTAGAGTCTAGATGAGATGACCTTTCTCTCCCTGGCTGCTTTCTGTGTTCTGTTTGTATTTTAGGGGCAATCATTTCTTTGAGCAGTATGTGATCTAAATAGACAGTTTTGTTCTGGTCTCTGTAGTATCTTGTAAAGGTGGACTCGCTTTAGGCTCTGGAGGTGATACTGTCCCAGGCTGTACTGTGAGGAGAACTATGTCCTTGGTCCAAAAGGATTAAATTGTGTAGTCCAGCACTTAACAGTAGGTCTTTGGAAAGGTCTTTGGAAGGTGCATTTGAACCTTGTGAAGTAAACTAGATGAGCTAATTATTGCCTGTCTGGACTGTTCATTGACTGACTCAGTGTCAGGTCTCAGAAATAGCTTTCATCTTTTGTCCACTTCCCTTGGGTCAGCTACTTTTTGTCTCTGCCTCACATTTATCGCTGTAGGAGGAACTTGGCCTCCTTTTTGAAAGACTTGGGGTCTGCTCAGTCTGCCACAGTATTTTATTGTCACTTAAACAAGCTGTATTGTAACCATCTTTACAGCAGGCCCTTGATATCTTTGAGGCACTACTGGCCTCACTGTAGGGTATTACTGTTGACCACTCCACCAAATTGGAGGCCACTGCCTTGCCCAGATGCCGCCTTACCTCTCTCAGACTTTGACTTTCTTTCTAAAAATAAAGGGACAGGTCCATAATCCACCTCCCCATCCCATGCTCATTTTGTGGATCTAGATTGTCTTTATGATCCAGGGGGCTAGTCCAGAGAGCTTTGGTATTCTATGCTGCTTTCTTTCTACTGCCGTATTGAAACACTGACCAAAAACAACATGGGGAAGAAAGGGTTTATTTTACCTGGCCGATTATAATCCATCAAGGGAGTCAGGGCAGAAACTGAGGTGGGAACTTGAAGTAGAGGCCATAGAGGAATGCTGCTTAGTTGCTTCCCATGGCTTTGTTAGTTTGTTGTCTCATATAACTCAGGACCACTTACTCAGGTGGTCTGTGTGCTGGACCCTCCCACATCCATCATGAATCAAGAATGTACCCCATAGGGTTGCCTACTTGCAGATCTCATGGGAGCATTCACGCCATTGAGATTCCCTCTTCCCAGGTGCCTTTAGCTTGTGTCAAGTTGACAAACTAACCAACATACTTGGGAATGTCTGGAGATACTGTCAACTTACTGTAAGATTAAAGTGGCTATGAGAACACCCTATGTTCTCAGAGCAATGTCTGAAAAGTCTGCTGCCTTGGAATGAGACATCCATGTTACTTTCCTGCAGGCTTGGGTGTGCAGTATAGCTGCTTAGCCTTTGGGGATTACATAGTTAAGCAGAAGAAAGAGTAGTGTTGTACCTGGGGGTGTTGGTGATTCAGTTAGTTACTATGTGGGTTTTGGATTCTGAACTGTCTCCAGACAGAGTGGGAGGATTTGTTGCACTGTTGCAGTCCGTCATCTTATTTTATACTATATGGTATTTATAAATTTTTATTTTATCTGTATGGGCGTTTTACCTGCATGTTTCCCTATGTACCACGTGTGTGCCTGGTGTCCATGAAGGCTGGAAGAGGACATTGGATCCCCTGGGCCTGGAGTTAAAGAGGGTTTGTCACTTTGTCAGCCACCGTGTTTGTTGGTGCTGGGAATTGAACAAGGTCCTCTGGAAGTGCAGCCAGTGCACTTAACCACTGAATTATATCTTTAGGCCCTATTTAAGGTATTTTTTTTTGTGGGGCTTTTCTGTGTGTGTTTGTGGTACTAGGGGTTGACCCACAGTTTTTTTCTATGCTTATGCTAATAAGAAGCAAATTCTTGGGGCAGTGGTGTCGAATGCCTTTAATCCCAGCACTTGGGAGGCAGAGGCAGGCGGATTTCTGAGTTGGAGGCCAGCCTGGTCTACAGAGTGAGTTCCAGGACAGCCAGGGCTATACAGAGAAAAACCTGTCTTGAAAAACCAAAAAAAAAAAAAAAAAAGCAAGTTTTTTACCATGAAGCAGCACCCTAGCCTTGTGCTGAGGTGTCCTTGAACTAGAAATGAAGGTGTTCGATGAGATAAGCAGGCTCCCTTCCCCTGTGTCTGCACACATGGTCAAGTGATTGTTATGGATCATAGATCACAAATTTGTAGCAGGTTCCCTGGCTTCGTTTTTTTTTCCTGTTTGGTTTGGGTGGTTGTTCCCTTCCTCGGTTTGCAGTGTCTTGTTTCCCTCATTTTGTATTAATCTGGGAGTTGGATACTTAACTGCTTACTCTCCGCACTTTCGTGTTGTTTTGTAAGGGCAACTGTCAGTTGGCATGTATCAGACAAACTGTCAGGGATGAAAATCAGTCGGAGCTGGCTCCCCTTTGGCTGTTTTTCACTGTTTGAGTGTTCAGATCTAGGGGAGGGAGGCTATTGTGTTTGGCCTCTTTTGTGCTTGTTAGAATTTTTTAGCTTACATGTTTAAGTGTAGTAAGTGATATACATGTGCTGTTATGCTAATTATAATCGTTTCTCTTAAAGGAAAATTTTCTCCCTCTTGAAAATGCCTTGTTCCCTCTAGAGATACAGGCTCCCTACTCCAGGGACCCTTAAGTTAGTGGACTTGATAATTAATGCACGAAGGAGCTTAAACCGGACCTAGAGACTTGGGAGCTAAGTACATGCCTGCAGTCCCAGCGTTTGGGAGGCAGGAAGGCTGGGAGTTCAGAGCCAATAGCCATGGATGACTTAGCAAGGAAACAAAACAATCATGAACAAAGAAAGAGAAGAAACTTGATGTGGGGATACGTTTATTATGATGTATTTTCTTCATACTGTGTCTCCTAATCATGTGGTTGGATATATTTTATTTCATGTGACCAGCTGTACCTTTCAGATTCTTTCCCTTCATTTGCTAAGTCTCTTCCTTCATTTCTGCTCTCTTGTGTTTTATTTCTACCAGTTGTTAACTTGAAATTGTCCTCTCTCCATCAAGTCCACTTAATGAAGAGTCAAGGAAAATGAAAAATAAAAGGGCATACCTCCCTGGAGGAGTGCTTGTCTAGTGTCCACAGGCCTTGGGTTCCATCCCCAGTACAGAAACTCCCTATGAAACCATGGATCTTTGGCAGTTGGGCTAGGGAATCTGTGTTAGGCTGGAAAAGCCACATGCCTGAATCTCTTGGTTGTGGATCTTCAGGTATTTGTTGTGTGACTTCAGGAGAGTTACTTCATTTCTCTGAATTCTCTCATAAGTAGAATTACTGTACAAATGGACAGAACTTAAACTCATCTGTTTGAATGTACACAGTAGGATCACTGAATGGTGGGTGTTAGGACAAGTGTATGCCTGTTCACCCCTGTGCTAGAGATTCTGGGTTCTGTTTTGGGAATGACCTTGGCAGGAAGGAACTAGGGAAGTGCAAGGTCTGCCCACATTGAACTAGCTAGTATGTAGGGTCTGGTCAGAATATGTTCAACATCTGCTTCGAATGACTATAGGAAGCAAGAAGAGAAAGGAGAAGTAAGGGAAGCATCATGTGACCAGCTGTTCTTTTCCAGTTCTTTCCCTCTATTTGCTAAGTCCCTTCCTTCATTTCTGTTCTCCAGTATGTTACAGTGGTCACTTGTAACAGAAGTCTTGCTGCCTGTGCTATTCTAGACAGGTGCTGTTGTAGAAAGGGCAGCAGGGCATTGGTGCTGTTATGTATCTTAGGGATAAACCGAGTTGATACCATCGAGTGTTGTGAAGACGGAAGGGAAAATGAGAGAAGCTGGCTGCATTAGTTTTTCTACTGCTGTGATATAACACCTTGACCAAAAGCAACTTGAGGGAGAAAGGTTTATTTCAGCTCACAGGTTACAGTCTACCACTAAGAGAAGCCAAGGTAGGAATTCAAGATCCTAGAGACAGAAGCTCAAACAGACTATGGAAAAATACTGCTTACTGGCTTGCTTCTTCTTGATTGCTCAACATGCTTTCTTATAACTCAGTACCACCTGCCTAGGAGTAGCACTGCTCACAGTGGGCTGGGCCTTCCCACATCAATCATTAACCAAGAAAATGCCCACAGACTTGTTTGACAAGAAATCTGATCAAGACATCTTCTCAGTTGAAGTCCTTCTCAGAGGATTATAGCTTATGTCAAATTGACAAGAACTAAGCACAGTGGACATCTGTGTGTCTTGTTTTCAGGTTTACCAAAGAATCTATAGCCACCTGGCTCTGTGTGCTATGTTGTTTGAACAGGATCCTGTTCAAACTTCTAAGCAAGTCATAGCCTGGGGGCTTTGTTAATTTTTTTTTTTTTTTTTTTTTTGAGGGGCTGGAGTGGGTCCGAGCTTTCATGTATAAGGAATTACCAGATAGTAATGGAAAGGAACACTGCAGCTCCTAGGACAATAGGGGTGTGTTTAGATTTCAGAGTGCCTGCCTAGTGTGCCCTGCTCATCTCCTGTCTTGGGTTTTGTTAAGGAGGTATGTGACTTCTACTAAGTGCTTGCTGCACAAGGAATTTGGAGAGCATCTCTCTAAGATCTTCCTTTAGTTATGGGTCCCATCTAATATCACTGGACTTTGAGACAGGTTCTAAAGATTTACACTAAGGTGTGAGC